AAATTTTTAGTTGCAGAAACTGCAGTTAAATGGCATAATTGTAGATAAAGAAAGAAGCAGGGCCAACAATCCATCACATACAGAGAATAATTCGATTATATTCCCCTCTCACCATAAAGAAAAACAAATTACAAATGGACTAAAGATCTACATATAAAAATATAGTGAAATCTTCTGCAGACTCTGATATATATGAGACTAACAACTGCTTAGCGGGGAGTGTTCCTTCTGAGATATTTGTCAGACTTTGAAGCTTCATGGGGCTAAGCTCAAATCTTCTAAAGGGCAGAACTGAACCCACCACAGTCTTTCAGGGTTGGAGAGACAGGGATCTGCCAGGCTCTCAATCACAGCTCCAGAGGGAATCGTGGAATGACAGGCAGGTGCAGAGCAGAGGTGGACTGAATCTTGTTTAAAATGCAACCCAACTCCAACCCAGCTCCATCTCCAATTATATACTGGAATCAGTCTCTCAATTCCTTGGGCACAGTGGCTCATGCCTGTAATCCTAGTACTCTGGGAGGCTGAGGCAGGAGGATTGCTTGAGCTCAGGAGTTGGAGACCAGCCTAAGAAAGAGTGAAACCCCCATCTCTACTAAAAATAGAATAATTAGCTGGGTGTGGTGGCTCTCGCCTGTAGTCCCAGCTATTCGGGAGGCTGATGATGCCACTGTACCCAGGGTGACAGAGTGAGACTCTGTCTTGAAAAAAGAAGAAAAAGAAAAGAAAGATAGAAACCCTCACTGGTGAAAGATATCCGGAACACACAATATCCAGCATATAATAAATAATAATGATGATAATAATGGATAGGCAAAGAAGTAGGAAACAATGATTGGTAATCGAAAGCCAAAACAAATAATAGGAACATATTCATTAGGGATGGGAGGCAAGGACTTTAAAATAGCTGATCATTAGGCCTGGCGTGGTGGCTCATACCTGTAATCCTAGCACTCTAGGAGGCTGAGACCAGCCTCAGCAAGACTCTGTCTCTGTTGCTCAGGCTAGGTTGCCATGGTGTCAGCCTACCTCACAGCAACCTCCAACTCCTGGACTCAAGTGATCCTCCTGCCTCAGACTCCCAAGGAGCTGGGACTACAGGTGTGCACCACCATGCCCAGCTAAGTAAGTTTTTCTACTTTGGGTTGCTTGGCTAATTTTTTTTTTCTATCTTTTGTAGAGATGGGGTCTTGCTCTTGCTCAGGCTGGTCTGGAACTCTTGAGCTCAGGTGATCTTCCCACCGTGGTCTCCCAGAGTGCTAGCATTACAGGTGTGAGCCACCATGCCCAGCCATTTGAACATAGTTCAGACAGTTGGCTGCCTGTGAGTGGTTGAAGCATGGCTGCTGTGATTGGCTGAGACTCAGCTGCTTTGGGGAGTAGGTTACATTCTGTTTACGCATCCAGTTGGATTACATTTCACTAGGTAGGGAAAAACCTTTAGGCCCAATGTAAAATATGGAAGGAGGCAGATTTAGGCTAAACCTAATTTAACAGTGTACAGTGCCTTACAGGGCAATATTAATAGTATTTATCCTATTTTATTTTAGTTATTTACTCATATGTGTTATGGCTCAGAAAATACTTAAATATGGCACTTCAGCATGCCGAGTGCTTTGAATTAAAGGAGATTAAAAGGCCTCAGAAATAAGCCTCAGGACTAAATTCTTTCTCTGACCTTCCCTGTCTTACTATCTCTCTGATCCTCTTTTCTGAAGCAGCAGGAGGTACTCTGGAATTTTTTATCTGACTAGGGAAGCTTTTTTCCAAAAGAAATGCAATCCCTTTCCCTAGGAATCTCATCAAACAACCAGGAAACATTAGCCATCAAGGAGAGAAGAGACTGAGTGTCTTCACCTCCCCAGATAGGCTTTTCCTCTATTTTTCCCAAATCTCTTGGGCTACTCCAAGAGATTGCCAGGGGGACTTTATCTGCTTAACCACTTCGGTACCAGCGTCGACTATAGTCGCAGCCACAGATGAACGTGCACGTCGACTTTAGCTGATAGCCATGATATGAAGGTGCACAGCCGAGCGTCGACTTAAGCTGACAGCTGTGATATGACTTTTCTAATTTTTCATTTATCAAAATAAAATTGTGAACATTTAAAAATAACATAATAAAAACATATATGTATATGTTACCTATTCTGATTTACATTACAAGTAAAGCTACCTGTAAAGTAAAATAAGCTTTAAAGCTTTCCTCATCACACAAGAGCAAAACGGATTCGTCGTCAATGCACAGCACAAACTATTGTGCGGACTGTGATTTTGGCTGTGGGCAAGATTTCACAGCCAGTGAGCGCCGTTCCGAAGTGTTATTAAAACAACCTTTGCTCACAGTGAAGTTCTGCCCCAACACCACCTCCCCGAGAGTTCAGAGGAACTTTGTCCCAGGCCATTATTCTTTTGGCTCATTTGTTTCCCCTAAAAATCATTTACTCCTATATGCCCCATTTCTCTTCCCCTATGAAGAAGGGTGTATAAGTATCTGGATTTCATTGGATTATTAATCATTCTCCTTTGATTCCTCATGTTTATGCACATTAAATAAAGTTTGTATATGTTTTTCCCTATTAGCTTGCCTTTTGTCAGTTCAGTTTCAATGAACCTTCAAAGAGTGGAAGGAAAGCAAGCTTGTGCTCCACTCCTACACATTTTAGTGTCCCCACTAGACCAAGCTCCTCTAGGGCAGGGACCATGTCTTATTCATGTTTGTCTTCCTAGTATCTGGCATGGTATGTACAATACATGTTAGTATATACTAGTAACAGTACAGTATGTACCACAGTGCCTGGTATAGTATGTTCCAGTATATTGCTATTGAATGAAAGCATAGGCCACACAGAGGCTTCACAGATAATCTAAAGGGAAGCTGGGGTTTTAAAACCAAAAGCAAATGGGAGTCCACTTTTAGGTATCTACTGTAGTGGCAAATACTAGGTTGCTAACGCAAATAATATCAAGTATTAGTCTAAATTTAAAGAAGTTAATCTTTGCAGTAGTTAATATGCTTCAGAAAAACAGAATGTATCAGAGAAATAAGGCTAAAGGTAGGAGTTCCAGAAACAGAAACCATAAATTTGGCCAATGAATATACCAGATTTTTCTGTGGAAAATTCAGCTTTTAATATTTCATTACTTTAGTCACATAAGTTGCCCTGTTAAGATTGTGTTCTTACTTTAGGTTTGGAAAGATGGTGTGACATTGTGATGTATAAGATGGTCTTAGTCCCCGTTTCCTGGCACACAGCTCCTAAAAACCCTGAGAATCTCCTGAGTGACAAGTGTCTTTTTCTGTGCTAATGAAATGACTGCTGGTTGGGGCTCCTGGATGGCTGGTTGGGGGCTGCTTGCCAGGGGAACCAACCATGTGATTAAAGAGTTGGAATCATGATTAAAGAGTTGGAACTTTCCAGGGAGGGGAGAGGGGCTGAAAGTTGAGCTGATCACCACTGGCCAATGATTTAATCAATATTGACTACAATAAGGAAGCCCCAATAAAAACCCAAACGAAAAGGGTTTGAACGTGTGGCAGTACCCAGAGAGGGTGTGGAAGCTCCACACATCTTCCCACATGCCTCTCCCGATGCATCTCTTCCATCTGGCTGTTCATCTCATGCTTTATTATGTCTCTTATTAATAAACTGAGAAATGTAAGAGTTTCTCTGAATTCTGTGATCTCCTCTAGCAAATTAAACTTGAAGAAATGGGTGTGGAAATTGCAGTTTATTAGCAGGTTAGTCAGAAGCACAAGTCACAACCGGGGGATTGTGATTGGCATCTAAAGTTGACTACAGTCTCGGGGGAGGGAGACTGAACCATTAGCCTGTGGAATCTGATGCTATGTCCAGGTAAATAGCTAGGGAATTGAATTAAATTATAGGACACCCAGCTGGTGTCTGCTGGAGAACTTCATGGTTTGTGGGAAAGAAACCACATACATATGGTCACAAGCATTCTGTACTGTATTTAGTGTGTGAGAGCAGGAAGAGCATTTTGATTTTTTTTCCCTATCTCTATTAGTGTGAATGTATCTGATTTCCAAGCTTTTTGAAATTTGAACTGAAACCCCTAAGAAAGGTACACAAAACTAGAAAATTAAAAAGGAAGAAATAAAATATGTAAATAGATGTTCTAATAATATTCCCTCACTCCTTGGAATGTCCTGTGCACTTGCTGTTCATGCGCCCCACTTTGGAAAATGAAGAATAAAGGCAGTATTTGTATCTGTAGTCAGGGGAAGATGTGTAGGACTTCATTAGATTCTCACATCTGAAATCAGATCTGAAATCTGTAATCAAAAGTCTGATTCCATTCTTGATGACAGGTTTTAAGCCTTACCCCAACCCTTTCTCCTTCTGTCCCATATTTTGGCAAACTAAGACAGCCTGGTTGCTGCCGCCTTTCACATCATGGGAAATTCAAACTGCATGAAGGAATCCTCACCCTGGCCCTTCCCCCCAACCACCATAAAGACTGCAAACCAATCTCCTTTCCTTGTTCTCTTAAGCCATTTTTGGACCTTAGAGGCTGCCCTGCTTTCCTCAGAAAGCTGCATGATGTGAGTAACAAATCCTTTCATACCCTCTTGGAGTGTAACTTCATTAGTCATGACATCTAAATCAAATTTGGTGTGGAGAGTGTATCATGTCTCAGTGTGGAATGGCCACAACAGAACAGTATCCTTCCTTACAGTTCATCCTCACTTTCTCTTTATCGCATTTAATACCACCAGACATTATGTCTTCATTTATAGTCTTTCCCTACTAGATAGATCCCCAGTATCTAGTGAAATGCCTGGCACCATCATCCAAGTGCCTACTCTGGCCAGGGACTGTGAAAGGCACTAGTGCTACAGTGCCGATCACAGCCTTTGCCCTCACCCTCATGGAGTTTACATCCCAGAGGACAGGACAGGTATTTAATACATTATTTGTTAAATGAAAGAATATTATTTTTGTCTGGAGTTAAGATATTAAAAAGAAACAATATCATATCATGAACATTTTTATTATTTTTTGCTTCAAAATAGTGCTTATTCAAAAATATTTAGGAATTTATGCTCATAAGACATAGCTAACATCCAAAATAAACCATCAAAAATATTGTACCAAAGAGCTCCTGCATCTTGTACATTAGCAAGGTTGCCATTAGTAAGACTAGAGAGTTGATTTCTGGTTAATGATTATAGAGGAACATTGAGGAAAATTTCAGCCATTACAATCAGTAAGAGTGTAATTTTATATTTCACAGAGGACAGTGGTCATTTTTAGCAGTATGCTCACTTCAATGTTGTATTTTGATGCTGTTTCTTTTCCCTTTTCTTGCAAATAACCAGCAAGGTACAAACTGCTTCTAATTGGCAATCCAAACAAGGGGAGGAATCATGGCTAACACCACGAATTGCTAATGTCTGTGAAAGGCAAACTGCAAACTTCTGAATCTGTTTTAACTTCGCCAAAAGGGTGAAAGGCTCCCCTTTGCCACTTTGTTCTAGAAAAATAGTATACTCTGATTTCTAGAATGGTTATTTAAAATCCAATACAAGGATTCAACAACTATCAACATTTTTTTCTTTCTTTTTTAAGAGATGGAATCTCACTCTGTTGTCCAGGCTGGAGCTCACTGAACATTTCTAAACACTTGATTTTTCTAATACTCAGAAATATCTACTTATAAGTTGTGAGACTAATTTGAAAAATTTAATAATGTCATACAAATGTAAGTTATTATTACTACATAGTAGGAATAATTACATGATTCCTGATCATGTTTACATTTAAAGATATAAACATAAGATTGATCTTGCTCCTACTACAAAAAACAATGAAGTTGGTTCAATAAATGTAGGAAAAATTAAAGAACATCTTAATTAGGTATCTTTGTTCCCAATAATCTCTTTCAGACAGATCTATGAAATAACAAAGAATGTTAATATATTCCCTTCATTTTGAAAGCCAATAAAAAGTGGAGTTTAAGTAGTAAGATAATTTCTGTTAGATTTTATAATAAGTGAGTTAATATAGTCAATTAGTGAGTTAATCAATTAACCTTACTTCTTTTTCTAAATGAGTATCAGATGATTTAATCTCGTCCAATTGTATGGGTCTCTTTTGGTTGATCAATACGATAAAGAAACTCTGCAGGTAAGAAGTATCCAAGATATTCCACTATATCTGGGGTAGTATCATAATGGTAGTGTCCACCTTCTCCATGATGACTAAAAAAATGCGTGTGCTCCAGTCTCAAATCATAACCCTAGGACAACAAACAATTTGTTAGTACTCAAATATTTATTTTTTTTACTCAAATTGTAGCACTCTGTATATACTTTTCTGTATAGAGCTTTTTTTTTTAAAAAAAATAAAGACAGCATCTTGCTCTGTTGCAAAGGCTGTAGTGCAGTGGTATGATCATACCTCACTATAACCTTGAATTCCTGGCCTCAAGTAATCCTACTGCAGCTAGGACTACAGGCACATACCACGAGGTCCCGCTAATTTTTAAACATTTTTTGTAGAGGGGTGGGAGGGTCACCTTATGTTGCCCAGGCTGGTTTTGAACTCCTGGCCTCAAGTGATCTTCCTGCCTTAGCCTTCCAAAGTGCTGGGATTATAAGCATGAGCCACAGCACCTGGTCAGAGCTTTTTTTTTTCCTTCTACTTAAGATGATATTTGGAGATTTTGTATATCGGATCATAAAAGAGCTTCCTCCTTCTTTTACACCTAACATGGTGTTTTCTATTGTATGTACATAACTCTTCCTAACTGACATTTACATTATTTCCAATTCTTCTGCTCTACTATAACAACACTGTCATGAATAACTTTTTAACTAATCATTTTACATAATTATGTCTATATTTAAAGATAAAATCCTAGACATATAATCACTGGATCAAAATAAGATACCATTAGTATTTTAGTAGATATTTTCTTTGAATTGGTCTATATTATAATATTTTTTCTAGTGTATAATATTTGAATATAATGAACACCAAATAAGATAATAGAGGACCTGAATTTTATTTAACAGTTGTGATTCTGTGATTTTTTTTTTTTTCTTTGAGACTGGGGTCTTGCTATGTTGCTTGCCCAGGTTGGTCTTAAACTCCTGGGCTCAAGTGATCCTTTTGCCTCAGCCTCTCAAATAGCTAGGACTGCAAGGGTGTCAATATAAAATCTGCTCTGCCTAACTCATAGGGTGGTGAGTCACCTGCTGCTCCCTTACCTTTTAAAATAATTCTAGAGATGATCCTAGTTCTTTTTTTTTTTTTTATTTTGGCATATTATGGGGGTACAGATTTTAAGGTTTCAATAAATGCCCATTTCCCCCCCTCCCCCCAAAAGTCTGAGTCTCCATCATGACCATCCCCCAGATGGTGCACATCTCACTCATTATGTATGTATATACCCGCCCCCTAGTTCTTAAATAACTATTAAATATAACACAAAAGTACCTAATTCTAAAATAATATTCTAAATATCAAGCATTATCATTGTAATATAGTACAATATAAAAGACACACAGACTTACTGGGTCTTTGGAGACAAAAACTGGTAGACAAACCAAAGGAGCCTTCATCTCATAAAAATGTAACCATTTATTCACATCTTCATCTGAGTTCAAGGGGCAGGAAGAAAATTCTGCAGGCTACAATAGAAGATTGTTTTTAAAAAATTGTTAAACAGGTAAACATACTGAATATTATTGAGAAATAAAATTTTTAAAAATATATAATTTCTTTAAGTTAAACATTTTAAACTTTCTTATACATTCTATTGACTATTTTTGGACCTTGAATAGCCAAAACAATTTTCATTCATTCATCTATCAAAAATTATAAAGTCCTGAATGCTCTGGGTCTAGCTTAATATAGTATTCCATCCTTAATGTCTTATAAACATATATTTAGCCTATAAGATTATAATCTTTGTAATGAATTTTTCTTTCCTCAAAAGCACAACCATCTTAATAGCAAATTCTATATGTATTGAGTTTGGGATTTTGGCAATGAAAATAGTAAGCAGTTTTTAAGGCTTACTTTGAATTTATCTTGATCTTAAAAACAAATACATTGAAAAAAAAGTTCTAATATAGTAACATGAAAAAAGAACTCTAGCTAGACATTATATCACAATATGACTTACAGTATGGTTTGTCATTTAAATTTTAAAGTAAGACAATCATAATGAAAGGATTTGTTATGGTATCCTTAAAGGTAGAATTCCCAACATATATTTACAAATCCTAGGATCTTCAGCACATGCACACACACACAGGCTCTTACCATAATGTGAGACTTCACTTTTCCTTTCTGAACTATGAAAGTACCTCCCATCCCTACAGGCTTATCTCCATAATGTTTTTCCAGAGTCTGTCTCATAGAAGTCACAAAGTTAAGTGGTCCAGTTCTTCTTTTGGCTTTCACCTCAATGACCTACAGAGGATATAAATATGTATACCATTGACTAAGCTGCATATTTTTATATAAATACCAAAGTGAAACATTATATAATTTAATGCTATCAAGTAAATATTCTCTTCTTTGCTTAGAGCTCTCAGATCTGAGTTGAGGTGTCTCAATCTTGTCTCGATCAATTACACAAACACACACATCAGTTATATATAATTTACCCTAACAGTGTTATTCATGCTTTCTTGCACTGAGAGAGTCATAAATTAGTCCTACACTGAGCTTTGGAGACTTTCTTAACATATGTGTTAAGGTGGTAAAAGGTTGAGAATTCCCTGGCTTAAGGGGATTAACCTCCTATAAATGGGGGTTAGAGGGAAAGGATTACATTTTCTCATTTCCCTCAAATTCTAGACTGTTATCTGTACTTTATTAGGTATTTTGACTTCTTGATCTCATATCTCAAAGTAGCTGATAAAATTGGAGAGTCCTCACAAATGCTAACATTGAAATTATCTTTTTGCATACTAACAGGAAGTAAATATGAAGTGAAACATTAATTTTTTTCTTCCTTCTTGCTATACTTTTTTTTTGGAGACAGAGTCTTACCTTGTTGCCCCAGTTAGAATGCAGTGGTGTCATCATAGCTCTCTGCAACCTCAAACTCCTGAGCTCAAGAGATGCTCTGCTCTCTGGATTAGCTGTGATTACAGGCATGTACCACCACACCTAGTTAATTTTTCTATTTGTTGTAGAGATGGGGTCTCATTCTTGCTCAGGCTGGTCTCAAATTCCTGGCCTCAAGCAATCCTCCTGCTTCAGCCTCCTAGAGTGCTAGGATTACAAGTGTGAACCACTGCACCTGGTCTTGCTGTACATTTTTGCTACACGTTTTTGCTACCACTATTTCTATCTAGGACAACGTGTAATCAGTCAGAAATAAACAATTTACTTATTTATTACCTATAAGTAAACCATTATTTATTTTAGCTGCATGGTTCATGTAAGTCTGTGGGCCCCAACCCCCAGAACATGGACCAGCGCCAGTACTGTTAGGAACTGGGCTGCACAGCAGCAGGTGAGTGGTGGGTGAGTTAGTAAAGCTTCATCTGTATATACAGCTGCTCCCCATCACTTGCATCACTACATAAGCTCTGTCTCCTGTCAGATCAGCAGCGACATTAGAGTCTCATAGGAGCATGAACCCTACTGTAAACTGCGCATGCGAGGGATCTAGGTTTTGTGCTCCTTATGAGATTCTAATGCCTAATGATCTGAGGTGGAGCTGAGGCAGTGATGCTAGCGCTGGGGAGTGGCTGCAAATACACATTATCATTAGCAGAGAAGTTTGACTGCAGAATAAATGTAATGTGCTTGAATCATACTAAAACCATTCCCCTAACGCCTGTCCACAGATAATTTGTCTTCCACGAAACCAGTCCCTGATGTCAAAAAGGTTGGGGACTGCTGATATAAGTGACTAATTCATTCCCCAAATTAATATTGTTACGTTTTAGTTACTCAGAAAAAGGTATTTCTTACTAATTCTTTAACCTCAGTTTTAAAGACGACTTTTGCTCTGCCTGTAGTACTCTCTGAATTTTTCATAATTGGTTTTTTCTTTTTTTAGAGACAATGTCTTGCTCTGTTGCCCAGGCTGGAGGGCAGTGGCATGATCATAGCTCAGTGCAGTTTGGAACTCCTGAGATTGAATGATCCTCCCACCTTGGCCTCCTGAGTAGCTGGGACTACAGGTGTATGCCACTATGCCTTCATTTCATTTTATTTTATTTTACAGGTGGTGTCTCACTATGTTGCCTAGGCTGGTCTTGAACTTCTGCCTGGAGTGATCCTTCCACTTCAGCCTCCCAAACCATTGGGATTACAGGGATAGACCATTGTGCCAGGCCATAATTGAGTTATTTAAAGAACTTTCACTTAGGTAGGTCTGAAGGAAGATTATATTTGGGGACCAAAAAAAGTTCAAAGTTTTAGCTATCTGAGAACATTGAGAGAATATTGTATTTTTATGAACAAAATCACCTTGCCAGGTTGGCCCTCACTGGCAAAAAGATTAGCCAGTAATGCACACCCAAAATCATGGTGTTTCTCACTGTATTTCTGTAGTAGGCACCCTCCATCTGCAGGGTTAACACGGGCAAAGTAACTTCCATTCACAGGAGGTTTGTGTTCACTTTCTGTTTGAATAACTGGCATAAACTGAAAAGAAAACAAGGTAATTAGTCAATCTTAGTATCTCTACACCAAGAGAATATCTTGAATAATGTTACAAAATACTTCATCCCTTTAAGACGTTTTCAAGTCCTAATATGAACACATAAAATATGTAATATTAATTTATATGCAAAAACTTGGAAAAACATTTTGTAAATTGTTTACAGTATTTCTTACAGTGTATTTATAACATTGTAACATTTGCTTTACGTTACCTAATTTTAAATTTTAAACATTTTTTTCTGTCTTGAACACTAGGCAAATTATATTAATGTTTCTGCAAAGAACTTTTTCTTTTAATGTTCCTAGGAAAGACCTATCTGCAAAAAACTTGTGTAACTACTGACTAATGGTCACATCTGAAGAGACTGCAAGAGAATGGGCAGACTGAAGAGGTCATTCATTCTTATTCATGAGATATGAAGAAACACTGATATTTTATGCAGTAATAGTATGTATTAATAGTATATATACTAACAGCTATTAACTTTTATAAATAACCATCACACTACTGTGATAGCTTCCTAGAGTTTGATCTGGTAGAGGGTAGATCATTAAATATTCCATTCATCTTCTGATCTAAAGCTGCCTTCATACCAAAAGCAAACATACATAGAGAAGCTAGGAATCCTATGATATATTAGGAATAAGGCCGGGCGCGGTGGCTCATGCCTGTAATCCTAGCTCTTGGGAGGCCGAGGCGGGCGGATTGCTCAAGGTCAGGAGTTCAAAACCAGCCTGAGCAAGAGCAAGACCCCGTCTCTACTATAAATAGAAAGAAATTAATTGGCCAACTGATATATATATAAAATTAGCCGGGCATGGTGGCGCATGCCTGTAGTCCCAGCTACTCGGGAGGCTGAGGCAGAAGGATCGCTCGAGCCCAGGAGTTTGAGGTTGCTGTGAGCTAGGCTGACGCCACGGCACTCACTCTAGCCTGGACAACAAAGCGAGACTCTGTCTCAAAAAAAAAAAAAAAAGAATAAAAGTCTTTTATAATTCCATGCCTTTAGCAGAATACCCAGGACCTTGGATTTATCTCAGTCTGAACCTATATCCTGAGAAAATCTGATACTAGACGTCAGTGCTCCATTAAAGTTGGACCACTTAGAGCATATGCTATAAACCAAATCTGTATCAAACAGGATCTAATCTGTAGAGTGATATGATATCAACCACTTACAATTCACTCAGAAAGTAGGTTTTTTGGCAGTAAAAGGAAAAAAAATGTCAAATTCATAAAATAAAATAATTATACTGTATGTGCTTTTGGGGGAGGGTAGAAAAGAAAAATATATATGCTGACCTCAGCATTGAACCCAAGAGTCTGAAATGGACCTGCTCCTGCTCCAAGAATAAAAGCTCCAGGCAGCTTGATTTCTTTTGCAATTTTATTCAGGTCATAAACCTGTAGACGAAAAAATATTTAAATTATAATTCATACAAACTCCCTGGTTTACTTATTATTAATAATACTGAGTCTATTAGCACTTTCTTGCTACATTAATCAATGGGTCTTCTAATAATAAACAGAGGGATCAACTCAACTTCTATAATCTTCATGTAAATATGAAGAATGAAAGCACACTTACTTTTTTTTGGTTTACAAGAGGCAATAAGTAAGGCACACCTCCTACTTCTGCAATTCTAGTTTTCCCACAGATGCCTAAAAAAACACAAACCATCTTAAAAATAGGCAAACATCTAATTCAAGTATAAAATGCTAGAAGACACTAATTCAATTTGAGTTAAATCATTAATTTCTCTATTCTCATAAAGAGTTTAACCAATAGCAGGAGTTGGAAGACATAAGTAGCTAATACCCCTATCTTAACTACCTGTGTTTCTAGTATCTATAACCAAGCATGACTTGATATAGTTGGAGGCATAAAGGCAATATGAAGCTGATGATAGGGCAAGGCCAGAATTACAGCCAAAGTTTGCATTGGATGAGGTTTCTAGAATTAGTCTACCATGCCTTATTCCTTAAAAAATCTGTTCTGATGTGGCTTTTTTTTTTTGGCTAAAATTGTTTGTTTATATATTTATGTATTTATTTATTTTTTTGAGACAGAGTCTCACTTTGTTGCCTAGGCTAGAGTGAGTGCCGTGGCATCAGCCTAGCTCACAGACACCTCAATCTCCTGGGCTCAAGCGATTTAACTGCCTCAGCCTCCTGAGTAGCTGGGACTACAGGCATGTGCCACCATGCCCGGCTAATTTTTTCTATATTCATTTTTAGTTGGTCAATTAATTTCTGTCTATTTTTAGTAGAGATGGGGGTCTGGCTCTTGCTCAGGCTGGTTTTGAACTCCTGACCTCCAGCGATCCGCCCACCTCGGCCTCCCAGAGTGCTAGGATTATAGGTGTGAGTCACCACGCCCAGCCTTATTTTTTAATTTAAAATATTTTGCTCTGGTAGAATATAAATTCTTAGATCCATACTGGGAAATCCTCTCGTTAAAGTTGTTCATTATCAAGGTTGTTTATAAAAATGAGAAGTAATTAAAGATAACTTTAGATAGTCATAGCTTTCTATTTATATATGTGTGTGTATGTGTGTGTGTGTGTGTATATGTATATATATATATATATATATATTTTAAACAGGATCTTGTTCTGTCAGTTCAGCTAGCGTACAGTGGCACCACCATAGCTCACTGCAACCTCAAACTCCTGGGCTTAAGCTATGTACCTACTTTAGCCTCCCAAATAGCTGGGACTAGAGGTGCACACCACCACACCCAGGTAATTTTTCTATTTTTTGTAGAGATGGGGTCTCTTGCTCAGGCTGATCTTGAACTTCTGACCTGAAGCATCCCTCCTGCCTTGGCCTCCTAAAGTGCTAGGGTTTATAGGTATGAGCCACTGTACCTGGCCTCTACTTACATTTTTATTTAACATTAGACATAATTTGGGAAAAGGCACTTTATCTTTTGTTTGAGAAAAAGTAGTCTTGTCAGTTTCATGCTAACATATTGTTATACATAATAGATACGATTGCTCTATTTTTCAGCTATGCAGAGGGTAGATGTACAAAATTCTAATAACTTCCATTAGTAATTGGGGATTTTGCAAATATTTTCCATGGAATCAGAAGAAATAACTCATGGATAAGACTTTCTCTTAAGTGATAGTGACACTGAAGTTTAGAGAAAGTATTAGGGGACTCTTTTAGTAGTCCAGGGAAAAGATAAGTAATGGTGACTATAGAGATGGAGAAGAGGAAATTTAACAAAGAAAGGAGAATAGGCAGCTATGATGAAGTAATGAGTTAAATTTTAGACACGTTGACCTCAAGTTGTCCTTAGCATATATATTAGTATATATAGGTGGAGATGTCCTATAGGCAGCTGGAAATACTGATCTTTAGCTAAGAAAAAGAGAGCTTGGTGAGATGTACAGATTTCAAAGTTGTTATATACAGGTAGTAATTAGCATCACAGGAATAGATAGAAAAACCCAGAGAGACTATACAAAATAAGAAGAGGCACAGGAAAGAATTCTGGAACATGTTAATAATTATGAGCCTGCCAGAAAAAGAAAGGAACCAGGAAGAAAGAGGTAGGAAAGGCACCAAGGAAGAAGAGGTGAACCATGGAGAGAGACAAAACCAAGGGGAGAATGTCAGGCAGCAATGGCCAAATAGCATGAAATATGTAGAGAGATGAAATAATACTAGTAAACATACTAAGGTCATAGGTGACCTTAGCGAGACTAGTTCATGTACAAAGTACCTATGTTTATGAAAAATCATGCATATAAATATACATATGCATCTGGCTTTTAGTATTGCAATTTAAAGACTCACAAGTTATTGACCAGCAAACTCTTTTTCTTCTATGTTTTCTGACTTCCATTTACTTTTAATTAGTTAATTAGCAGGGAGAATAAGCATGGCTATTAAAAAAGCAATGGCTCACGCTTGTAATCCCAGCATTTTGGAAGGCCAAAGTGGGAAGATGACTTGAGGCCAGGAGTTTGAGACCACGCAAATTTGTTAAGGGTTGTAAGTATTTAATAGATGATTCAAATACAAGGCTTTTAAGATTCCTTCTTGTCTTGAATAAATAAATAAAAACATAAAAGTTACAGTAAGTTTAAGGACTTTAAAAACAAAAATAATGTGATATCAAAGATTCTAGCCTATTGTTTATTTTTTGTTTTGAGACAGTGGTCGCCCTCTGTTGTGTGGGCTAGAGTGCCATGGTATCGTCATAGCTCATCGCAACCTCCAATGCCTGAACTTGAGTGAACCTCCTGCCTCAGCTTCCCAAGTAGCTGAGACTATAGGCATGAGCATTCACCCAGCTAATTTAAAAATTTTTTTGCAGAGATGGGGTCTCTATGTTACCCAGGCTGCTCTCAAACCCCTGGCCTCAAACAATCATTCTGTTTCAGCCTCACAAAATGTTAGGATTACAAGTGTGAGCGGCTGGGCCAGACTGATTCTAGCCTATCAAATGTGTAATATATATAACCTGTGAAGGTTACAGAAGTACATAAAAACACAATCTTTTTCCAAAGGGTATAAAATGAAATTGACCAATATCAGAAAACAGTACAGAAATTAAGCACAATTTAGTCTAAAAATTGTGACAGTATCTTTTATTTGTAGGTAATTTAGGAGGATCCTTAAAAATAATTCTGGTTTGAGAAAAAGATTACAACTGAAAAACAAAAGATAATTGCAAAAACTGCTTACCTTTTACAGGAAAGTTAAATGGTTCCTTAGTCAAGTCAGGGCAATCAACTACAGAAACCTGGACATCAGCAAAGTTATCTTTTAGTCCTTTCTGCATAACTAATAAAGACAAGGAAAAAGGTTATCTAACATGAGGTAAAAATTTGGCTACCACACATCAAATCTTCCCTCAACTTTTCTGTGTGTCATACTTCCAACCTAAACTTGTGTCATAAAAAAAGGTGGGAGGGCAATGGTCTAAGGAATATATTTAGCTATTAGACATAATAAGATTTAATGTAGACTAAGACATATATCTCATCTACAGTGATAACTAAACACTGAAGTTAAACAGACCACTCAGGTGAGGACCACCTTCCTTTTGGGGAGCAAATTCCAAAAACATACTGAAATGTAAACATTTAAACTGTTAAAAAGTAAGCAATCACATGCAACAACTTGAATGAAGATAATAGAGAAACTGTTGAGGAAAAGAAGCCAGAAACAAAAGAATATACATTATGTTATATGACTTCATTTTATGTATTGGAAAAACAGGCAACTGATCTAAAGTGACAGAAGTCAGAACAGTGGTTACCTTGGGGTAGAGACTTTGACTGGGAAAGTGCATAAAGTAACTTTCTGGAATATGTTTTATATTTTGATCTGAATGGTAGTTACCTGGGTGTAACCATATGCTAACATTTATCAAACTGTACATTTAAGATTAGTGTACTTTACTGTAGATATGTTATACCTCAATAAAAATGTAAAAAAGCATAGGTGTCTCAGTTATAAATCAGACAAGATCTGATTTGCATTCAGGGTGCCATACACAAAAAAAGTTATAAATCTAAGAGTGATGTACTTTTAAGCATCAAAAGTTCTTACAGAATTTCTGATAGTAGTGCCAGCCGTTAGTTCATCTTTTAGAATCGGATTAAGAACATCAAGTCATCCTAAATCTAGCCATATTGATATTCCATACCAGATATATTGTCTATAAGAACAAACACCAAAGTGACTAGAAAATCCATCTGCTTAGACTAATGACTGCAAACTTATGGATATACAGATTAAGATTTAGCGTGTGGAAATATAGTAAAAGCTATTTTTTAACCAATTACAAAGGGACTAAGTTCTTGCTATAAGCTTTTCTGTAAAAGTAGAAAATAAATTTTAAGCCAGAAAACTTATATTACATTTCTGTTTTGTATTGAATATATCCTGTACATATAAAAGACAAACAGAAACACACAGTGAAAATAGTTTCTAGAAAGGCACTCAAAATATTCTTAGCTGTCCTATCAGATCAGGGAAGACAGAAAGATTGATAGAAAAGAAATACAGGTCAAAGAATACCAGCAATACATACTGTTTACTAGCCACCATTCAATTAGGATAAAAACAAGAAGGTTATAAGGGGAAAGCCACAACAAAACAAAAAATGAGCACATTTCTGGACTTTACTCTTATCAGCACAGATGAACTATTAAGATGACACACTCTGAAAAATAAAGGAAGGTTTTATAGTTACCACCAGAATAGAACTGAAAGGCTGTCACATAAAGGTCAGTATTCTGACAGTTTTGGATTAGTACTATTGCTGGCATCATTTTTTATTTTTTCATTACTTTTTTAGAGATAGGATCTCACTCTGTTGCCCAGGCTGGAGTGTAGTGGCACAATTATAGCTCACTATAGCCTCAATCTCTTGGGCTCAAGCAATCCTCCCTCCTCAGCCTCCTGAGTAACAGGGACGACAGGTAAGTGGCACCATGCCCAGCTAATTTTTAAAAATTTTTTTGTAGAGACAGGATCTCACTATGTTGTCCAGGATGCTCTCAAACTCCTGGCCTCAAGCAAATTCTCCTGTCTAGGCCTTCCAAAGTGCTAGGATTACAGGCATGAGCTACTATGCCCAGCCTCCTGGCTTCATTTCATGTCCCTATTTTTGTTTTCCTTTTTAAAAATCTATCTTCCCTCCTTTTAATTTCTCTTGTGAAGCTGCCTTAAATTCTTGTTTGAACAGGTAAAATACAAAAAATATGCAAGGAGAAATCTAGGCAAGTTCACTGACTATTATAGAGAGAGAGGGGAAAAAAGTGGTATATTGGGAATATGACTAATACATAGCAGATTATATTTTTAAAGACTATTGTAACTGATAAAAAGTTAAAGCAAAATTGTGCAACTCTTTGGGCATCACACATACTTAAATATCAGATTACTATAGTAGTCATTTTCATCCTATAAAATTAGTATCATCAAGGGTCTACAAATGGTGAGTTTAGTTTTTTTGGAGGGACACAATTTTAGAATTTCTCAAAAATAGTACAGAACAGATACTGAAATGGAAAATGAATTTTGTATCAAAAGTATTATTTTTATAAGATATATTAAGAGGTAAGTGGTAAGACATAGATATGTCTTAGAATCTTTAAAAAATTTTTTTTCTTAGAATAATTTTTAAAAATCCAAAGTTAATATTGTTTTTACCTCCAGCAAGCTCCGCTAGACTTGGCACATGAAAAGAAAACTCAGCAATAGCCATTTTCTTTCTTCTTTAGGAGTTTGTACAGATAAGCTATTCTTGGTTAATTATTCACAAACTTTCACAGTGTACCGGAGCATGAACAGCTGCTGCTCTGGAAGTGAACATTAAGACTTCAGTCATAGAAGAAGGCAAAAGGGCATTTAGATTTTTTTTTTCCCCTTTGATATGAAGTCTCTCAATTGTGCCCATGCTGATCTCAAACTTCTGAGCTCAGGGGATCCTCCCACCTCAGCCTCCCCAGTGGCTGACTTTACATGCACATACAATTCATTTTCTTTAGTCATATATCTGGATTCAACATGGAATTTGAATAAGGTATAAGGAATATAGGTCTTAAAGCAGAAGGTACTTAAGGTTTATGAATAAGTGTTTAAATCATTGTAGATAACAGTATGCATAGGATTCTCAAATATTTCTATAATAAATAATTTGTGTTTTCTACTCTGTATTTGACATTTAGCCTAAAAATTAAACAAGTTTCCTAGACTATCACTTTTATGACAGAAAATATAAATTACTAATAGCAATGGAAACTTCTATGGAATGATTAGCTTTTGGAATTCAAACTTTTCTTTTTTCTCCTTGTCTTTTTTTTGTTTCTTTTTCCTTTTCAAACTATTTTCATTTAAAAATAAACATACTTTCTTGGTAAACAGCTTTAATGTTCCATTATTCTGATAATCTAACCAATTATAATTTGATATTTAAAAAATACATGCTAAATATACTTTATAATAAGTAGATATACATACACAGAGTTTAGTATCTTACCTCAAGTGTTCAGTTGATGAACAACTGCACAAGCAGAGGGAGGTAAAATGAAGGCAGAGTAAAAAGTAATGTGAGGTGGGCGGGGAATCCCACTCCAGGCCAATCACAAGGAATACAGACAAAACTCCTAAGGGCGTTTCAAAGTGCATTGTTGAAGTTCTCATTAAAATTATTAATTGGGCCAGGGCGGTGGCTCACGCTTGTAATCCTAGCACTCTGGGAGGCCAAGGCCAGCGGATCACTCGAGGTCAAGAAGTCAGGCGGATCACTCCAGGTCAAGAGTTGGAAACCAGCCCGAGCAAGAGTGAGACCCTAGAAAGGAATTAATTGGCCAACTAAAAATATATAGGAAAAATTAGCCCTGCAAGGCAGAAATATCACTTGAGCCCAGGAGTTTGAGGTTGCTGTGAGCGAGGCTGACACCACAGCACTCTAGCCCGGGTGACAGAGTGAGACTCTGTCTCAAAAAAAAAAAATTGTTAATTGAACATCTCATTAATCTGAATAGTCTCTGGATTTAACATGTTTATTTAGCGCTTAAAACGTGCTCTATCTCAACATCATTTGAAATAATCTCCCCCATTTTTTTTTAAATTTTCCAAAGAAACACAGGTTTCTAAGAAACTGGGTTTCTAGTTTTGATAATTTCCAACAACATATCCTCTACAAATATGCTATTGCATACATTTACTTTAGTGCTTTATCAAATACCAGCTTTTATTATTCTTTATTTAATATACATAATCTGATCTCCCAAATAAAATATAAATAACTGTTGATAGTGGGGTCAATATCCTATATAATCATACTTCAATTATTATTATTATTTTTTTTTTTTGTGGAGACAGAGTCTCATTCTGTTGCTTGGGCTAGAGTGCCATGGCGTCAGCCTAACTCACAGCAACCTCCAACTCCTGGGCTCAAGTGATCCTCCTGCCTCAGCCTCCCAAGTAGCTGGGAGAACAGGCAAGCACCACCAGGCCCAGCTAATTTTTTCTATTTTTAGTAGAGACTGGGTATTGCTCTTGCTCAGGCTCTTGAACTCCTGACCTAAAGCAATCCTCCCATCTAGGCCTCCCAGAGTGCTAGGATTACAGGTGTAAGCAACTACACCCAGCCCAATTACCTTAAATATAGTTTTGAGTTGAATAATCAGTAATTGTTCAGGAATGAGACATTTTAACTTTTTCTTTTGAAATAATTTTGGATTGACAGATATTGCACACAAATAATTCCTGTTTACTCTTCACCTAGATTTCCCAAATGTTAACATTTTATCACATTCTTTATCAGGAGCCAGCAGGTACTAACTTATTTACGAACATTCAAAATCTGCACAATGAATAGTGCATTCATTTATAATGAGGATTAAAAAAGCACTTTAGATATTTTTGGTTGTAGTAGGAATAAGGACTCAAGTTACAATTCAGATATCATAATTGTATACCCTTTACTATCCCTAAAAGAAGGTAACTTTTTGTTTTATGTCCCCACCAAAATAGAAACAAGTCCAACACTAAGAGGCTGCAGCTTGAATAACTGGTTTAAAAATGTCAACTTCAGGCAGGCCAACAGCATAGCAGGCAGTGTGGCAGTATGTGTATGTACTGCTTATGGGTGTATTGGAGGTGTGGAGACTTTGGAGTTAAAAGTGATAGAAAAGAGTTAGAAATGTTCTCATGTAAACTCTGAAAAAATGAAAATGAGGTTAACTATAAATTCAAACTAGACAGCTTTACTGGTTTATTATATGATAAAAGAGGCCTGAAAGCAGGAAAAAAAAAAAATCAAACGAGTTTATCCCTTTTTTTTTTTTTTTTTGAGACAGAGTCTGGCTTTCTTGCCTAGGCTAGAGTGAGTGCCGTGGCGTCAGCCTAGCTCACAGCAACCTCAAACTCCTGGGCTCGAGTGACTTCTGCCTCAGCCTCCCGGGTAGCTGGGACTACAGGCATGCGCCACCATGCCCGGCTAATTTTTTTAATAATATCAGTTGGCCAATTAATTCTTTCTATTTATATGAGACGGGGTCTCGCTCTCTGCCTCAGGCTGGTTTTGAACTCCTGACCTTGAGCCATCCGCCCGCTCAGCCTCCAAGAAGCTAGGTATACAGGCGTGAGCCACCGCGCCGCGCGCTTTCCTTTTTTTTTTTTTTTTTTAGACAGAGTCTCGCTTTGGTTGCCCAGGCTAGAGTGAGTGCCATGGCATCAGCCTAGCTCACAGCAACCTCAAACTCCTGGGCTCAAGCAATCCTCTGCCTCAGCCTCCCGGAGTAGCTGGGACTACAGCATGCGCCACCATGCCCGGCTAACTTTTTCTTATATATATTAGTTGGCCAATTAATTTCTTTATATTTATAGTAGAGACGGCGTCTTCTCTGCTTCAGGTTGGTTTTGAACTCCTGGAGTTCATCCCTTTTATTAAAACTTTCGGGAGCCTAGCGCGGTGGCTCACGCCCCTAATCCTAGCACCTCCTGGGAGCCGAGGCGGGAGGACTGCTCTAGTAGTCAGGAGTTCCAAACCAGCCTGAGCAAGAGCGAGACCCCGTCTCTACTGTAAATAGAAATTAATTGCCCAACTAAAATATATAGAAAAATTAGCCGGGCATGGTTGGCGCGATTCCTGTAGTCCCAGCTACTCGGGAGGCTGAGGCAGGAGGATCGCTTGAGCCCAGGAGTTGGAGGTTGCTGTGAGCTAGGCTGACGCCACGGCACTCTGGCTCAACAACAACAAAAAATTACTTTGGGTAAAAACCCAATCAAAACTAAACTAGTTTACATAGTTCTATCTTAACTCAGTAACCAGTTAGGCAACTAATGGGAGGGGGGTGGGGGAACTCTGGAAGGAAAAAACCTCCAGCTGGTTTCTCTTGAGATCAGTTTACCGACTCCTCCTAAGAGGCAGACCCTAGGCTAGCCTTAGAGTGAAAAGCTGAGCCACCAAAACAAGACCAAAGGTGAGGAGGACAACCGGTTGTGCCCTGTAATAACGCTGGCCTCCAGTACAAAGGTCACGCATTGGAGTCATGGTCGAAGTATGAGCATTCTCCAATATTTTAACACAAAAAGAGATTTCTGAAGGCAAAAGTAAACAAGAGTATGAAAAAACACCCCCAACACACACACCCCACCCCGACCAGGCACTAGAAAGCCAGACGACAGACAGCTCAGCAAATGCGAGACCACCGGAAACAAATCAGGCTGACAGGCTGTTTCCTTGCAGTTCACACCCATTCCGCCCGCTAGACCTCAAAGTTTCCTTTTGCTGTTTGCAGAAATGTTTTCGGATGCTCCACTCACCTACAGGGTCCCGGAATCCTACACCTGAAACCCGACCTCTACCTCAGTCAGCTCCTCCCCTTTTAGGCGAGCGCGCAGAGGTCCCGCCCACCTTGACCACGCCCCCCGCGCGGTGATTAAAATGGCTCCTCCCCCTCCGGCGCGACCTGTTTCCTCCCACCTCTTTCATGTCTTCCGGGGAGCTAACTTGTAACGCGAGATTTCAGCCCTACTATTAGCTGGGTCGCGAGATTGGCCCATCCTTTTCTTCCGCGCGGCTGGAGAAGGTAGGTGGCTGTTGGCGCGTTGAGGGTCTGAGGTCGGGCGGCTAGTGGGTGCTCACCACCAGGGACTCATGCCCCAAGGCAGTTTGGGGTCCTGGGCCGAGGCCTGTGCTGCGGGCAGGAAGTGCGCAGCTGAGGCCCGGGCTAAGGCGGCGCTTGGTGCAAACCGTCTGCCGTTCCGGGTAGGTAGCGGAGAGAACATGGCGGCCTGAGCCTGGCGGGCGGGGGAGAGGTTGCCGGTCTAGGTTTCCCCCGCGTTGCTCCGAGCATCGGGCGTCGGATCTCGGTCCGTGACGGGGCCGTGCTCGCGGCTGTGGGCTCCTCTGGGCCTCGTGGTAGATCTGAGGCCCTTATCGACGTGATTGTAATGTGGGCGTGGTTCATTGTGCCTGAGATGTAGTTGTTAAAATGTGTTGTAGACAAGTTAAATGTTTCGGATTCAGTCTTCGTGAGGTAACCACTGTTGGCTCCTTTCTCCTTGCGTGAGGTTGGTTGCTTCTCCGAGAGGCTTGCCCAAGGTCACACACATGGTGTACTTGTTAGCTCCCCGGTAAAGTGCCTCTGTCTGGCCACGTGGCCTCTAGAAATCGCGGATTCTCAGAATAGGAAGCGACAGGTAAGGAGGAATGCTTTCCAAACTGGTTCCGAAAGGCGATTTTTCAGCTAGCTTTATTTTGGTAATCCACTTTTTAAAAAAAAAAAAAAAACGTAACCACGGTCTGCCATTAATGCCATTGGACCATGTTGTTCAATTTCATTTTTAAGCAGTTGATATTTACTTAGTTCTTAGGTTTTTTTCATTTAAGAAAACACAAAACATCCCAGGAAATTAAAGTATGAAATGTCTGATTTTCTTAAGTACTAAGTTTGACGTTGATATCTCTGACATTTCACTTTGACACTTGTTGTTTTATTTTTATTGTGAAGGTACATCCTCAGTCTTTCAAAGGCACGTTTTGGCTTGTGATTATCTTTCACAAAATTTTTTAGAGCAATTTTTGTGAAACCATGGATAAGTCAAAAATTCGTGTTATTTTTGAATATGAGTTCCGTTGTGGAACCAGTGCAGCGCAGACAGTTCGAAATATCAATGAAGTGTGTGGGAACGATGTGGCTAATGAACGCACAGTGTGTCTATGGTTTGAGAAGTTCCGTTCTGGCGATTTTAATCTTGAAAATGAGCCACTTGGGCGACCTGAAACCAAGGTGGATAATGATGAACTGAAAACTCTAGTGGAAGAGAATCCATCTCAACCTACATGTGATTTAGCAGCAAAGTTCGATGTTACTATTCCAACAATATTGGACCATTTGAAACAAATTGACAAGATAAATAAGTTGGGTAGATGGGTTCCACGTGAATTAAACGAGCATCAGAAAAGAAATCGTCTGGAAGCTTGCCTTTCTTTGCTGTCACGTCATAAAGACAAACCATTTCTACACCGTATTATTACGTGTGATGAAAAATGGATTCTTTTTGACAATCGCAAGCGTTCAGCACAATGCTTAGGTAAAGATGGAGTACCAAAACACAGTCCAAAACTGAATATTCATCAAAAAAAGCTAATGGTGTCTGTCTGGTGGTCCAGCGCTGGTATTATCCAGTACAGCTTCATGAAACCTGGTCAGTCAGTTACAGCAGATGTCTATTGCAACCAGCTGGATGAAATGATGAGGATGCTTGCTATTAAGCAGCCAACATTGGTTGATAGAGACAGGCCAGTCCTCTTGCAAGACAGCTCTCGACCGCATGTCACACAAAGAATGCTTCTCAAGCTACAACAGCTGGACTTAGAAACTCTCTGTCATCCACTTTATTCTCCAGACCTTGCACCAACTAACTACCACTTCTTCCAGGCTTTGGACCACTTCTTACAAGGAAAAATACTCAATTGTCAACAAGCTGTGGAAAATGCCTTTTGCGATTTCATTGCCACTTGCTCTCCAGGTTTCTTTGAAGCTGGCATAAAAAAGCTACCTTTAAGATGGCAAAACTGTGTTGATAATTTAGGCGCATACTTTGATTAATTGTATTGCTGCTTGTTTGAGATACAATAAGCTACGCTTTTGATTTAAAATTGGACATACAGTATGGGTCCACTGGGTATTTCACAAATTTGAGATTTTAGTGATCTCATTGTCTTCTATATTTGAAATATTTTGCTAGTTTGTCTTAGGATTTGTCATGACTCGTGTCATTCACAAGTATGGCTAAAGAAAAATCCAAAAAGAAAAGACCAAAGGATATGCAATAGTGAGATAAGTAGTTACCTTCGATTTTTGTTTTTATTTACTTAATTGCTGTATACTCTTTCATGGAGATGAAGACAAAGTCACTGTAGTTTGTTTTAGCCTTTAATTGAAACGGTTTGAGAATTCAGAACTCTGAATTTGTGCTTTTAATGACAAAGATGTGACAAGACAGTTTAGTTAGATGAATGCAGGAATAAATGGGAAGAAGGTGGTAACTCCTGAGCCTGAGTTTTTAAATTGTGTGCTAAATGGAGATGCTTTTGCTGGTATACAAAGGGCACACTTTGCCTTGTAGTTTTCTATGCGTAAGTTTTTCTTAGAAGTTCCATTTGATTTTGGGAAATGGCTTTTTGGCCATTGTACACTAATGTATTGATAATTGTACATTAGTATGTGGCTAATGATAAAACCATTTTTTACCTGTACTCAAAAGATTGCTTTTGTTGGAAATGAGAGTGCTATTCTGGAATCTTGTTGCATTGAATAGTTTTAGAGTGTAAAAACTGAAAGGTTAAACTGAATGCAGTTTATAGTGTTTTGGGTTTTTTTCTTTCTTAAATTGATCTTAAAAGGACTGTTCCAAGAAAAGCTTAAAAACCTGGTAAATGATTTTGCCTAAATCCACATTACTAATGGTGGCATAGTCTATGTCGAACTTTGTAGTAAATAATAACTGTGTGTCAGCGTTTATTTGTTTAGGGAGGCTATCACATTTACCAAATTTCATAATTTCAGAAAAGTGATTAAAGCAAAGAGAAGTGATGGATAAGTCAGGAATGGATTCTCTTGACTACATGCCATTGGACTCAGCTGCTGAAATTGAAAATCAAAGGTAAGTGGATTTTACTGCAGAACTGAATAGATACTTACTGTATTTGGATTTATAGGAAGGCATAAATTACATCTAATGGGTGACAGTAAAGATAATTTAAGGACAGATTACACTAATCTTCTAGGTTTATCTAATTACAGATTGAAATAGCAATATTGTTGCAAATACTTTTAATTCAGAATCTGAATATATTATAGTGGAGCACATTCTTAGCTTAGGGAAATGGTATATTATCTGGGTCGATTTGGTATTTTGTCTTCCTGACTAAATTGTCCTATTTATGTCTAGAAGGCTGTGTTTGTTTTATGTAGTGAGAATTTTTAAATAAAAAATAAAAACAGCTTTTGAGATTATATTTTATCTTGGAAAATAAAGTTTCATTTTTTAATCAGTGCTGTGAGATTAGGGGCCATTTTAGATTGGGTGCTCAGTTCTCAAAGACTGGCTGCTGAGCCCATCTTTTTTTTTTTTGAAAACAGTTTTTAATTATTTTGGGTATGTTTTCCTACATTAGTCCTGGAAGAAATGTACACTTGGGATTGGTTATTACTAGTAATAAGTTCAGTAAGACAAAAAGATAAAATTAATTTTTCCTGTTTTTCTAGTGATAACTCTTCTGGTAGCAGCTTATTTAAAACACAGTGTGTTCATCACTCACCTAGACGGAGTCAAAGAAACCCCATTAGAAAATCTCTCCATTTGCCTGAAAGTGTTCAAGCAAGAGATTCATCAAGTGATTCAAGTATAGAACCAGTGACTTTAAAAGCTATTTTTGATAGATTCAAGAATAGGAAACGTAAATGCAAAAAGAGAAAATACAAACCAACAGGAAGACAAAGGGGAAGACCCAAAGGAAGTAAAAACAGTAGATGTTCACAAATAAGTAAGAAACTGTTGGAAGACAAAGGACCTGGGTTCCCATTTTTGGAATCAGAGACTGACAGAAAACCATTACCTTGGAGAAAAATTTTAAATTTTGAGGTGAGTCAGTACATTGTATTTATGGATACTCATAGCTAAAATGTTTTAAATGATTTTTAGCCACTTTGGTCAACTTGATCTAGTTCTTCCCAATTTGTGATTAAAAAAGAAGGATATGCTTGGAACACATAGTCTGCAATTTTGCTAATATTCTCCTTTACTGACTTCTACCTAAAGGCTCCCCTATCCTTCAGGTCAAATTTCACTTAAGTTTCTGGGTGAAATCTTCATTGGTGAATCTCTTCAGTGAATATAACTTTGCTGAATATAATGAGTAGTGCTCCAAGGCTGTTATTTTTTTTTTTTTTTTTTTGAGACAGAGTCTCGCTTTGTTGCCCAGGCTAGAGTGAGTGCCTTGGCGTCAGCCTAGCTCACAGCAACCTCAAAACTCCTGGGCTCAAGTAATCCTTCTGCCTCAGCCTCCCGGGTAGCTGGGACTACAGGCATGCGCCACCATGCCCGGCTAATTTTTTATATATATATCAGTTGGCCAATTAATTTCTTTCTATTTTATAGTAGAGACGGGGTCTCGCTCTTGCTCAGGCTGGTTTCGAATCCCTGACCTTGAGCAATCCGCCCGCCTCGGCCTCCCAAGAGCTAGGATTACAGGCGTGAGCCACAGCGCCCGGCCCAAGGCTGTTATTAATCACTTCATCCTATCTCTGCTCTTTAAACATAACTCTGAAGCTCACACGACTATCAGTTTTTTGCATTAATGTAAGTTAAACCCACACCTTTCATGTTCAGTAGATGTTTTCTTAAAGCCTAGCTCTTTCTGATGGTATTACCTGATAAATACCCAAATACTTAGCAGTAAGCTCTTAAAATATTTGAGAGTTCAATCTTGAATGTGAATGTATGTTTAATTTTTCATCCCTTGCCAGAGCCTATAGTTTGAGAGGATTAATACTTATTAACCTCTTAAGTTTAAGTGATTATAATAAACATTAGAAATTTTGTTATCTTTACATCTAAAATGCCTTTCATAATTCCAAAACATGACAAGATTTGTGCTTTTTATCATCCTTGTTAAGTTTGATAACTGCTATGTGAATTTTTTTCTACAATCAGGAATAGTCCATAAATACAGATAGCTAATTCATTCTTTTTTTTTTTTTTTGAAACAGAGTCTCACCTTGTTGCCCAGGCTAGAGTGAGTGCTGTGGCATCAGCCTAGCTCACAGCAACCTCACTCCTGGGCTCAAGCAATCCATCCTCCTGCCTCAGCCTCCCGAGGAGCTGGGACTACAGGCACGCACCACCATGCCTGGCTAATTTTTACTATATATATTTTAGTTGGCCAATTAATTTCTTTTTTTTTTTTTATTTAATAAAGATCTGAAGTCTGATTTTTCTTTCTATTTATAGTAGAGATGGGGTCTCGCTCTTGCTCAGGCTGGTTTCGAACTCCTGACCTTGAGCAATCCTCCCGCCTCAGCCTCCGAGAGAGATAGGATTACAGGGGTGAGCCACCGCGCCTGGCCTAATTCATTCTTTTTAGCAGGGGGCTTATTGCCATGTTTGAACATAGGCATCTGCTGAGTCATGAAAAAAATCTTAATCTTGCAAGGCCATGACATATTTTATGGTGTTTTTAATATATAGCAAGCTGTTGCAAGAGGATTTTTTAACTACATTGAAAAACTAAAGTATGAGCACCACCTTAAAGAATCATTGAAACAAATGGATGTTGGCGAAGAATTAGAAAAAGAAGATTTTGATAGTCGTAGATACAAATATTTGGATGATGATGGATCCATTTCTCCTATTGAAGAGTCGGTGTAAGTTGAATCAAATGAAGTTACTTTGGTCATAGATTTTAACTAAATTTTAATGTCACTTATTCCATATTTTGTCATTTATGTAATACGTTTGTCAACACAGAAAAGGACAGTTAATATTATTATAGTTGGCTGAGCTTAACAAACAAGACATCCAGGATACTGTATTTTGTGTTTGCCTTGACTAGTCTTGGGTGATTCAGCCGTATGTTGCAGCAAAGTATATAAATAATTAGGTCATAGGTTTTGTTAATCTAAGTGACATATTTTAATGTTACAGAGCAGAGGAGCAGGATGCAACACATACTGAACAGGATGAATGTGATATCAAATTAGGAGTAAGTGACTTATTTTTTTCCTATTTTATTGTGGGAAGACAGTACAGAAAGAATTGTATTCTATAGTTTTTGTCTTATGCTCCATTTAATTTTTGTAGAGTTCAATAATTTAATAAAAGAAATGCAAGAATAAAAATATTAAGATTTTGGATACTTGGTAATGAGAACATGGGCTTTTCAATACTACTTTATAAATAACATTTTAATATGTGATATTGCTAATTAGGACAGCAAATGAGAAAATACACAGATGTTAATTTGGATTTTTAACATTTAAATGTAGTCTCTGGGTTATTTGAGTATACCTAGCACTTAGCTAAGTGTAATTACTAAGCCACTTGAGTTGTTGCTTAATAGTGATTTTTTTTTTTTTTTTGGTAGGCGGATAGTTGTTTCATAATAAGTTCTGATTTCCCAAGAAAGATTAGTATACAAGAGAATAGTACTAAAGAAGCTGCTGTGTCTAAAAAGAGAGCTACAAAGGCCAAAAAACAAACAAGAGGACACCACGGAGACAGGAACATGAATATCAAAGAAGGTAAATAATATAAAGAAAATGTGGATATATACACTGGCCTGGTGGTGAAGAAGTTCTTTAACCAAGAACATTCTAAGGAACAAAAAATACCAGTGAAGAAGTTGTGAAAGAAACTTGTAAAGAATGAGAATTATTAGGAAAAAAGTATAAACACCAGGAAATTACACAGAAAAGGCTGAGAAATTACCACTTTCTGAATAATAAACAAGATCCTGATGTTTTTGACAATGCTTGTTTTCTGAGGAAGAGCTTACATACAGGTGTCATTTGAGAGATAAAATTACAACCAACTATCTTTTTTAGGGTATCTGAAACTATATCCAACTTATTCAGCCACATGTGACCTGTCAGATGTTCAGTATTTATAATAACTTTATTTTCACTTTCCCAAATACCTAGAATACTTTCAACTACCATTTTATTTATTTTGATCACCACTGTAGACTACACATATATACTGCATTTTATGACTGCACTTGTGTTTGATTTTGTCTAACTTGTGGACAAGGACTTACAGACAGGTGCAAAAAATAAATCCTCTTTTGCAACCCAGAACTCATTGTTCAGTATGAGTTTTGATACATATAAGAAGGAATATTATGAAACAATTTAAAGTGATAGGGGGTTGGCTGGACACGGCAGTTCATGCCTGTAATCCCAGCACTCTTGAGAGGCCTAGGTGGGAGAATCACTTGAGGCCAGGAGCTGGAGACCAATCTGGGCAACATAGCTATACACTCTGTCTCCACAGAAAATAAAAAAATTAGTGAGGTGTGCTTTCTCCTAGCTACTCAGTAGGCTGAGGCAGAATTGCTTTGATTAAGCCCAGGAATTCAAGGTTACAGTGAGGTATGATTGAGCCACTGTACTCCAGCCTGGGTGACAGAGCAAGACCTTGTCTTTTAAAAAAAAAAAAAAAAAAAGCTTAGGACATAAGAAATATTGGCTGTTTTAATTTAGTATTCTAATTCCTGTTGACGGAAGATGGCTTTTGTTTTTTTAAGGCCTTTATCTTGAGAACATGATGTCTGGAGTTGAAGGTATGTCTTAAAGTGAGTTTTAGAATCACATTTGTTTATGTGTGTTAGGTAGTAAATTGTCAGATTTATTTAAACCTCTTACAGGTTACATTTTATTAAGAGACATTTGTCGCTCCTTTAAATTCCAATTATGCGCCAGGCACGAGGATCGCTTGAGACCAGGAATTGGAGACCAGCCTGGGAAACATAGCGAGACTGTTTCTACAAAAAATAAAATTTCAATTATGACATTTATGTCTGAAAAGCTATCTTAGGTTCATATATTCTATACTGCTATGGTGGCACCTTCAGTTTCCTTTCAAGCATGAGAAGGTCCCAAATTTACAAATTAGTCTGTAATCAGACCCTTGGATTTCCCATTTGAGGCATACAACATGTTGAATCGATGCATAATATAAAATGAGGCAGATTTAGATTAATGCAAGATTTAGTAGCATAATGAAATGACTACAAAAGTCGTAACATTTTATAAATTTGAATGACACATTTGCTTTATTCTTTATAATGCTTGTCATATAATTTACAACCAGATTGTTCTCCTGTTTTATACTTGATGTCAAATAACCAAGGAGATAATACTTTTATGTAGTTTAATTCTGAGGAAAGAATTCAGTTAACATTTGCTGAAATCTGTCAATAGGGAAAAAAACATCCTATATTGCAGTATTAAGTTCATATGAATCAAAGTATATTTATACTTTTTTTTTCCCCTTTGGTTCATCTACTTGATAGTACTTTCCATACATTTTTTTTGGAAGGTGAAAAAAGGGCTCCATACTTTTATTAGTCTACTCTGGCTTCTAAGCAGCTTGGTGAAAAAAATCCTTACCGTGCGATTATGAAATGAGTGATTAAAGTGGTAGGAAAACCACATGTACTCACCTGCAAATTGGTATTAATGGATCATCGCTTAAGTGGACATATAGGAATAACATTTATCGGGTGTTGGAGGGGGGGCATTGGGCAGTATACATAACATTTGTACCCCATAATATGCCGAAATAAAGTGGTAGGATATTTTTCAATCTTAACTATTTTTGCAGTTTTCAACATTCAGGAGCACATGACAGTTCTTGCTATTAATTGCTTTCCTATGGAGTCTTAGACTTATATATTTAAACAGTTAGCAGTGGTTGAGGTCTATCCCGGTGGGGCTTTTTCTGTAGCCATACATCGTTGGAAACGCCTCATAGAGTAACATTGTGGTTTTGCTTTCCTCACAGGACTATTTGTTAGATCTGTGGGAAGAAACTACCAGACAGTTGCTAAAAGTATAAGACACCTAATAATTTGTTTTTACCGTAGGTATTGGCATATCCCACTGATCTGTACTATTCCTGAGTGATGGCTTTAGGTGAGTTTTTTAATTGGTGACAATGTAATTTTGGGGGAATATAGTTACAGTTCAGATGATGAATTTAACTGTTCAACTGCTGAATGATACAGACATGAACTAAAACTTAATTCTGACAGCTGAATGGCCATAATACATATAAATCTGGATATTAAACTTAGATTTTAGTTTTTATAACTAGAAATATTTACAGCAGCCTTTCTAAATCTTGGTACTTTGTCTGTAGGTACTAATGATTTGAACTCATTCACTTTTCCAAGAGGTAAGTGAAATATTTAATTTGCTGAGGACTCAAAAATTATGAGAAACATGTAAACTGAGTATAGCATCCCAATATTTTTATAACCAGGAGTTTATTTCAGTTATAAAAGATCTTGGCAAAATAATTTGCCACAATGTTACGTATTTTTGTATAGAATGAAAAATGACAAGACTGACTGGTTCATCCTTATATGTATACCTGGATATGTTGATTCAATTGAATTGCTTTAAAGGGATTTTTGCCCAATAAGTTGGCAATTTGAGCAACAGTGATGTTGACATTTCTAGTGCAGTCTTACAGAGATTTGACTTGATAGGTCCATATGTAAGTTATATAATATATAGAGATTGGGCAAAGATGACTAGAACTACAGTTTTAAATAGTTGTTTCCTGATTAGAATAATTATGAATAAAGGTCAAATTGCTGTACCTATTAACAGGAACTTGAATTTTAGAATTTGTGTATTTTCAGTAGCAGCATTATAAACTTGGGATAGTTAAGTCATAATTGCACTGCATGGTATCTGCATTCAGCAGTTTACTCCTGCTGGGGTGTTCAAAGGTCAGTGCCATAGAAATTCAGTATCTGGCATCGTTGGTTTTCTTGGCTTTGTGCATGTTAAACCTGGTATTTCTATTGATACAGTATTTCTGTAGTTTTCTCATTGCTTAGTTTGATATAGTCTTCAATAGTAACTAATAATGCTGCTTTTTCTAGGGTGTCAAATTGAGAACCAGGCAGATCCAACTACTCTAAAAACGTAAGGTTTTCTATTTCTGTTCCTTTATAGCTGCTTGCTTCTTCCCCCTATTGTTAGCATTGCCAGCATAACAAGAACTGCATGCAGATACTTTCATGGTGTGTACAATCTGGAGATGAACTATTACAAAGCCTCATTCTAGATGAGAATGGACACTTGATCATAGTGTCCAAAAATTGTTGATGTGGCTAAATTGACACAGGTTATGCTTCCATCACAGTACATGTATTACAGTGGTGACAATGAGACCTGTAACATTTTACACAGCTTGCTGTTGAAGTGTAAGAATGTTGACTTCAGTATTAGAGACTAAATAATATATAGTCATGCATCGTGTAATGATGATTTTACACACGGTCAGGATCATCAGTATCACTGTCTTCCACCTCCACATCTGTCCCACTGGAAGGTCTTCATAGGTACTAACAGGCATGGGGCTGTCATCTCCGATGATGATAATACCTTGCGAAGGACCTGCCTTAGACTGTTTACAGTTAACCTTTTTATAAGTAGAACGGGAAAGCACACTCTAAGAAGTATAATTTAGATAATGGTGATAAGTATTGTACATAATTGTACGTGCTACATTTTTGTATGACTGGCAGTACAGGTTTGCTTGCACCTGCATCACCAGCCTCATTATATGCAGCCCATTGTTGACCGAAACATGTGGTGTGTGACTGCATTAGATTTATGTGTCAAAATACCAATGTACTTTCTGCAATTCAACTTTTAGGACCGTGAAGTAACATGCTCGAAGAAATTAGGTTCCAAAAATTCTTGGTAAGTTATCTCAAAGGCCATACAGGTATTTTGTTGAGCACTAGATCTTTTTACAAATAAGTATTCATTCTAATAGGATTGTTAGAATCCTATTGCAACCAAAGTCTAGTAGTTGATTTATCACCATTAGATTTTATGATGTCAGTGTGCATTCACATTGGTTATCAAGGATGTATGATGTTATGATGATGGGCAAAATGTTCAACTGCTCTGAATGGGCTGAATGAAAATAGCCTTTCTGAACATCAGTCCATGTGAGAATAGTACAATGAGCTCAGTTACCTGAAACATACATGTTTCTAAATAGTTGTCTTTGGTGTTTGTGATCATAGAGCAGATTAACACGAATGGAAGTAGGATCATTCAGCCTTAATTTTAAAATATATTTTAGATATTCATTTAAATGAGCTGAATTGAAAAGATACAGATAGTTGCAATGAGCAATTTTAAGCCTGGAATTTTCAATACATAATGGTTGGGCACTGGGTTTTAGGATACTTTGGAACCTAAACAAACTCAAGCCAGATTTCTGCATTTAATAGTAAATATGACTAAAATTTTTCCATAGGTGAAGAGTTTAAGTTTTCATCATTATGCCCATAAAAAAGCAGCCAAAATAAAAAGAATTGTGGCAAGCAACTTCTGGTAAGACAAAAGCACCTTTTTGCCGAAGAATATAATGGTCATCACCAAGGCTTTTAGAATGCAGTTTCTCATTTGCTGTGGACATGACCATAAAAAAACTTCCCACTTAGGTTTTCTATCTGCTACTTTGCTAGCACTCAGCCTAGTGGGAACATTTTATTAACCCTTTATTAGACTATTTTACTTCCATTGCCTAGATGAGCACTGTCCATGTGAAAATACAAGGCAAGCAGCATGTGGTTATTTAATATCTGAAATTTATAGCAAACTCATTTCACATTCTCACTGGCCACAGTGCACACACCTAGCTAATTATCATTATAACTCTTCTGGATTGCTAATAAGTAGGGTTTCATTATGTGATCATCTCTGGAAATGTAACTTTTATGTTGTTATGTAGGGCTGACAGGACAACTATGGATTGAGGATCTGTTCTTTTAAAAAGGTATGTACTACACATTAGGAAAGGGCATTGGTCATTTCAAAGAGGGCTCATGGAGTTGTGAAACCAAGAGCTCTTAACGCTGTGACCAAATATTGAAGTTCTCTGCAGGATGTTGTAACACTAAATAGTGCTATGTTTTCCTGAGGAGAGGTACAAGACATTGCCACTCATCATTATGACATTAAATCATCCATGATTGTTGATATGGGAAACTAAATGTCTCAGATATAACTGAAATATTTCTTCTTCAGGGCCATCTTGAAGGTAAATCTTCAAAGACCACCAACCTTTGAGGAACTAAGGCTACCTTGATATGGACAGTGGAAGGAATCATCTGTGAAATTCCTTGAATAAAAATTTATTGACTTTAAAAAAATAAATAATTTTGCCTTAATGCCATAATAAAAAAACTTTTTATACTTTTTGTAGAAAGTCAGCATGTATTTTTGGCTCGGAGTTTCTCTAGTGTTTTCTGTGGGAGGGAATAAAAAAAGTAGCGGTTTCAATTGTGTATGTATACCTTCAGCTTGAAAAATTGGACTTGCCCCCCTACCACCCCCAATTCTGCTCACCTTATGAAATTCTCTTGCCCTTGCTCTGTTTTGGGCATAAGCTTCTTGCTTTGATTTCTCTTCATTTTGCTGTTTCACTTTAGCAAGTGGATTGTATAATCTGTAAGAAATTTATATTAAATTAAAGAGAAATACTGCAGAAAAGCAACTCACTAAAAAACCAGTCAGCCCTACCTTAGAGCCCTTTGTTGCATGAGGGCTTGTGTCATGTGTCCGTCTGGAGAAAGAGAGGCTCTGATTTTATTCACACCCTTTAGGCCACTCACAGATGAACCTGAGAAAAACAAGGGATTTGATAAATGAAAGAAAGGCCAGATTTTCAACATATATCTGTGAAAAATTATACATTTCTGTGAGGAAAGTTACTCCTAACTATTGAGGGAGGTTTGCTGAACATTAATTTTTTTAAAGTCAACATACCTATAGTTGGTTTCTCTGGAACTATTTTCATTTGAGAATTTTCAGAGACAGGAATTTTATTCCGTATTTCTTTCTGCCTTTGGCAGGATCTTTCCATAAATGTTTTTTTTCTCTTTACAAATGCTTCTTGTAAACTACCTGGTATAGGTGTAAATTTTGGAAGAGTTTCTGCTGGGAGATAAAATGTACTTCATTTAGCTTTTAGAGTTATGGGGGCTTAAAGTTAACAGGCAGCTCCCACTGGCCCCTGGTCTTGACACATTTCAGTATACTCAGGCATACCTGCAGACACTGTTGACGTCTCTATTGAAAGCTCTGATGCAGCTGGACAATCTGAGACTTCTGTTTCTGATACAAAAGGCGGAAATTCACTCACCTAATGATAAGAAAGTCATGTCAATTTTGTTCCAATTTTTGCTTTTAGAGTAACCTCTAGTTCTTTACTTGGGGAAGGAGCCAACTTACCAGGTATCTTCAAAAATTTGTTTTTATTAACCACATTACCTACCATCCCTATTGTCCCCCAATGCAACCACAAGATGTTTTCCCAGTTAGCACAGTATCTGCAGATAACACTTCCATGTACTTGTATTTGAAGGTTTTAATTTTAGGTTGCCTTCCTTGGATAAAAAGATCTAAATATGCTCATTGTGGGTGGCATTGGATGGATTATATCCAACTCACTTGGATCTTATACTTAAAATTCTTGTTTTTGTCTCTACCTCTTCTCCATACCACTTCTGTATTTTCATTTGTCGACTGCCTCCTTACTTCCCTTGTAAAAACAATTACCAGTTGTTCTAAAGTCATTATTCAACATCTTCAAATACATTTAGGTATAAAGTGCCTTCTAACTTAGCCTTGGAACACAACCTGTATGATAAAAATAGTTCGGCTACAGTGTAGGAGGTAGGTATGAGCTCTGGAAAAAGGATGTTTGGGACTTCTCTGAAAAATTCTGTGGTGGTGATAAGAGAAAAATGCATAGTAGTTGCCATAATAAATTACTGCACCGAACAGCTGGTAGGGGTGTCAAGTTTGAGTCTTGACTAACTTAACCCTTTGCACTCGGATGTCGAGTGTGACTCGACACTTAGCATGAGTTAGTAGCTCACACCATGAAAAATTAGATTAAAATTATTCTTTGACTGTATCAATAATTTGAAATATTAAAAAATCCAAATAAATAAGTTTGTATGAAAAGAAACTCCAGTATTTATTATTCTGGGGTATTTAAAAATATTAAGTCCTGAGTAAAATGAATGGGGGGGGGAGCAAGTGAGTGCAAAGGGTTAAGTTAATCCATAGCATAATTCCTCCAATGACTAAGAATTGAAATTACAAGGTAGGTGTGAATCAACTGGTTTGCTTGTATTGGAAATACAAAACAGAAGGAATGTGCATGTCATTTTTTCCTTTAGGATCAAAGCTTCAAAATAAACTTCCAAAACCGGCTCTAATCATCTCAGATCTGGATTTCTTTACCCAACTTTTAAGGACACCTTTTCTGCCTCTTAAAAGCAGAAAAGGCAAACTCAAGACTTTTTTATTGATACAGAATCTCACTCTGTTGCCCAGGCTAGAGTGCCATAATGTCAGTCACAGCAACCCAAACTCCTGGGCTCAAGTGATCCTCCTTCCTTCAGCCTCACACCTGGCTAATTTTTTTTCTATGTTTATATAGAGAAGTCTCTCACTCTTACTCAGGCTGGTCTCAAATTTCTGAACTCAAGTGATCCTCTTCTCTGCTTCCCAGAGTGCTAGGATTACAGGCGTGAGCCACTGAGCCTGGCCCTCACTCCAGACTTAACATCTTAACCATATATATTTATACTTAGGAGATTTTGAGGGGTTTTCCTTTTCTCGTCAGCTGGTTTGCAAACAATTCTAGTGTAAGAAAAGATGCCATGTGGAAAAAAAAACCCTCTGTGCAATTTATAGTTACAGATTGCTGTATCAATAAATCGATGTTTCAATAAGAGCTATGAAATTTACCTGAAAACAGCTTTCTGCCTCATTCTCTCTCTTTTCTTCTAGTGTTAAGTTTGCAAAATCCGCTTCAGCAATTTGTTATCACTGGTGCTCACTAAAGTAAGTTCTTGGTTCTTCCATTATACCATGGCCAGATTCTGTCCTTTTCAGTACAATTAAAAGGGAAATCACGTCAAAAGAACAGCCTTAGAACTTTCAAAATATGCAAAAAGTAAATAAATGTTCACTTTATACATCATGTGCATTTTGTATAAATGTCAAAATTATGGAGGAAAAACAACAGATTCCCCTTGAGCTCTCATGCTCCAGTGTTCACTTGTAGAAATACTAGAGAGCAGCCAGGCGCAGTGGCTCACACCTGTAATCATAGCACTCTGGGAAGCCGAGGTAGGCAGATTGCTCCAGGCCAGGAGTTCGAAACCAGCCTGAGCAAGAGTGAGACCCCGTCTCTACTAAAAATAGAAAGAAATTAATTGGCCAACTAACATATACAGAAAAAATTAGCCGGGCACAGTGGCGCATGCCTGTAGTCTCAGCTACTCAGGAGGCTGAGACAGCAGGATTGCTTGAGCCCAGGAGTTTATGGTTGCTGTGAGCTAGGCTGACACCATAGCACTCGCTCTAGCCTGGGAAACAAATCGAGACTCTATCTCAAAAAAAAAAAAAAAATACTGGAGAAGACTCGGGATGGGGTGAAATAATATAACTGAAAATATCTACTGTAAGGACTACAAACTTACAGGGGTAGTCCGATAACATGAGTGCAGGCTGACTGGAGCTATGCAGAACTGGAGCGCATATCCTATCTAAAGGGAGCAGTCAGTGGCTGACCTAGCCAAATATGGGCCACTGCTGCCACATTATGAATTTTTCAAAGGGAACTATCTTTAGTTTTAAACATTGAGCAAGAATGTAAAAACAGATAAAACACAGCAACCAAATTAAACACGCATTTGTGGTATAGATATAACCCTTATTTTCAATCTCCTGTATATTTGTGGAAAAGGATAAACTATATAACTTGCTAAATAGGAACAATGTTCTAATACTTATTCCAGTAATGGTTTCGGTCCCGTGCAGTGAGGCTTAACACTGAAAGTGTTGAAGCACAGGAAGAGACATCATTTATTGGGAAAGTTGATGAAGGATATCTGAATTGGGATGAAAAAGATCTTTCATAAAATTCTCTCAGGAACAGCTTTCAAAATTTGGAGTTTTCTTGTTTTACTGAGTGACCATTTCTGAGTGGTCATTTCTAGTGACCACAAACATGATTATCTCAGGAATATTACAAGTAGTTTTGCTTCTCTTGTGTTTCTAAAGTTTTTCCTGAGAAGGAACTTAAATGCTATTTTTATAACACAGATTTTACTTACCCAGGTTGGAATAGAGTTCTGTAATGAAAATGATCCAGAATTTATAGAGAGCTCTGATTGTCCTAGTTGAGATAGGGTTTTTATGATTTTTGGGGTTTCAGTTTCAGTTGAATTCTCATCTCGCATAGTTACCGAATGTGATGTATGAACTGAAGTTCCCATCTCCACTGTTCTTACACATAATTGAGAGTCAATTTCATCTACATGTGGATTTATGTCTACAACTCTACCGGTTTCATTTTTATCAACTTCAATGAGTCCTTGACTTTGTAACATTGTAACAACCCCTCTTTCTGATAGTTCTTCAAATCCCAGTGTTTCTTTTCTGCTTTCCAGTTGCTGTTTTATTGAGCTTCGACTAGAAGTAGAACCACATGGAGTGCTATGTTGTACATTTAACTGATCAAATACATTAGCCTCATCAGATGAACTGGAGACTGAACTTAGCACATTTCCTACAGAGAGCTGGAAATCACTTTTTTTCTTATTTTGTAATATTTCAGTATGTTCTTCAGAGGAATAGTTCTGGTTTTCCATGCCTTGGAAAGAATCTCTTGCTTCAATGCTAAAAATACTTGGTAAATCAGCATGCTGGCTCCCCTCCTGTGAAGAAAATTCTGGCAGAAGCTGTTGAAAAGATTGTTCAGATCCTGCATTAAGAAGTTTAAGAAATCAGTTAATCATTACTATATGTTGTAAAACTGGAATACAGACATAGTCTCTAATAGTTTCTAAGTAAATTGCAAATAATAAAGTCAGGTTACTACCTACAATTTTAGGAGTGAAAGTTGATGTATGTAAACATGAATACAAAGATAAGGATGGTCACAGTCATTTTCAATCAATTCTATAACACCAGGTATGTTCTCCTTTTCTAATATTATTTAATAAAGAAAGTATGGCTATAAGACATCATAAGGATGTTTTTCCCCATAAGAGAACTGAATATTAATTTTAATAACAGAAAGACTTAGCATAAGACATACATGTATATCTCATATACATTAAAAAAGTTCTAGAAGGACATTTTAACTGTAAGGTTCCAGGCAGGGAAGTTGTAGAATAAGAGGTAATACTTTTGCTTTTTATTTAATAAAGTTCAGTATTATTTTAAAAAATGTATATATTACTTCTGTTATTTAAATAAATATATAATTAAAGAAACAAAACTTATAACACCAGGGACAGGGGTGAGAACAAAGAGATACCAGACATAATTTCTAAGGAAATGGATGTAAAGAACCATAAAAAAAGAGTACTGTGTTTTAGTTAACTTTTTCTAACTTAGTCATACATACCCTCAATAATATTTTCTGTAGCAAAACTCTGAGCTGCAGCATGAGCCAAGTTAGTGTCAGGTTGCTGATCCAGGCTTGTGTTAAGAGAAGAATGCAGGCTAGTCCTCCTCAACGCTGTGAAAGAAACTGTACTTTTGGATGATATAGTAGCACGGTGGTTTTCAGATGAAGACTCTGGGCTCTGACAGAAAACAAGGAAAGGTTGAAATACTGATGGCGTATCACCAATTGGATCAACAATCATGATGTTCCCTTGATATTATCTTTCTTATTTACCACTTTACTATCACAGTAATAATTTGCTTATTCAAGCCCAATTGTTCCTTTTTAGTCAGTATAAAGGTGACTTAAAAAAAAAAATCATTTAGAAAACAAATTGTGGGCCATGCTGTAATCCTAGCACTTAAGGAGGCTGAAGCAGGATTATTTGAGGCCAGGAGTTCAAGACCGGCCTAAGCAACATATCGAGACCGCATCTCTAAAAAAAATTAAAAAATTCACTGGATGTCATGGTACGTGCCTGTAGTCCAAGCTACTCGGGAGGTTGAGGCAGGAGGATCACTTTAAGCCTAGGAGTTTGAGGTTGCTGTGAGCTATGATGATGGCACTGTGCTCTAGACTGGGCAACAGAGCGAGATCCCCAACTCAAAAAAAAAATTAAATTAAAAAAGAAAATAGTAAATTAACCAGGTAGAACTTAGAACACAATGAGATAATTTTCTGATAAGCATGAACTATGTGCAGTAGTCTAAGATGTCAGTCTACGGAAATAAAAAAGACCCAGGTTTGAACCTTAGCTCCTTTATTGTATAGGAAGAGACGATTTAATTTTTATAGAATCACAGAATATTTATCTGTTTAAATATGTTACACAGTTAAAAGTTCTCAAGTCTTTTATGGGATTGTGGCCACTAGTTGGAGATAAGGCTTATAGGACAAAGAAAATTCAAATGCAGCATTTTTCAATTTTGGTTTCACCTTAGAATCATTTGGAGGAGCTTTTAAGTGGGAGTGCTTACCTGAACACTACCAGAGATTCTGGTTTAATTGGTCTGGAGTGTAGAGTTTGAGCAATGAACTTTTCCGCATGATTCTAATAAGGTTAAGACCGATTGTTCTAACACAAAACTTAAATCTGTTCTTGGAAATTCACTACAATGTGACATCTACTTTAATATACCTGGTAAAAGTCTCTGTTGTCTTGAGAAATCCCAGAGGATGGTGATGAATCAAAATCTGGATGTGGTTCTAAGGGTTTAAATAGCTGACGATGCAAATTTGGAAAAATCTGTTCCAGTTCTGGAAAGTCAAGGTCAACTGCTGGAATTTTGAGGGGAAAAAAGAGATACATTTTTAAAATTTAAAGTAAAGCCTAGTAAAGGAGTATGAACACATTTATAAAAGCTTTTTTTTTTTTTTTACATAACACCAGTAAGTTGTTGCCATTTTTTTCCATAACTGGCTGATCCTTTCAAATTAAGTCCTATGATGATCATTTTCAAAGGTCCAAAAAATATGGATCCTCTCCATTACCAAAACTTCTGACAAATATAAACTTCCATTTCTGCTAGCTCCAAAGCCTTATGAGAAGTTAACAGGCCATATACGAATTGTTGTAAGCTTAAAAAAGAAAAAAGAATAGCCCACTATATTCAAGGTTCTGTGGAGCAACACTGTACTTTAAGTGTTGCTATCTCATTTAATAGCCAACATCCCACTTTTATGGAAGATGAAAGAGTAACTTTTCCAAGGTTTTACAACTAGGAAATGGTCAAACTATGACTTGAATCCAGATCTGTCTGATTTCTGACTCTTGCTCTTAATGCTGGCAATGCTGCCTCAGCTGTAGTAGCAAACTTTGCAATGGTAAAGAATGATTTGCTGGCCAGGCATGGTGGCTCATGCCTATAAATCCTATCATCTGGGAGGCTGAGGAGGGAGGATCGTTTGAGGTCAGGAGTTTGACACCAGCCTGAGCAAGAGTGAGCCCCCATCTCTACTAAACACAGAAAAAATTAGATGGACAACTAAAAATATATAGAAAAAATTAGCCAGGCATGGTGGCACATGCCTGTAGAGCCAGCTACTCGGGAGGCTGAGGCAGGAGGATTGCTTGAGCCCAGAAATTTGAGGTTGCTGTGAGTTAGTCTAATGCCATGACACTCTAGCCTAGGCAACAGAACAAGACTGTGTCTCAAAAAAAAAAAAAAAAAAGAAAGAAAAAAGAATGATTTGCTAATCTCTTCTATGCATTCTTTAGTCAGTCTAACTGGTTCCACATGCCCTCTCTCATTAATTTTCCTCAATATTTTCTGTGGTATAACTGCTGCAGCAGACCATAAAAACATTAAGCTTAAATAATCACTACTTAAAACTAAAAAGGATGAAAGGTAAAAAGTTAAAAACACTTTATATAAAAGTATTCCTTTAAAATAATTTTACCCCGCAAGTCTGTTTTTGTGAGTATCAAATTTGCTTCATTTATATACTTGTCTGTGATGTGCGGAGAGTGTGTGTGACCAGATGTAAATTCTTCCACTGCAGGCAAAAGAGATTTATGACTCTCTGAAGAGTTGTGCCGTTGATAAATAACTTGTATTGAAGGAACTATAGAACTTAAAATATTTGTTTCATCTTCTTTATCGGTGGTAGATTCTTGTTCCCTATCATCCATGTGCTCTGCAAATGACCCTGAAAATCAAGTTTAATGAAAATATTTAATTGACATCGACATTATATTCCTTTTAATGGTTACTAACTTCCTTGGAGACATAATTTGGTAGAGAGGCATGGCAATATATGTTGCTAAGAAAACAGCGCAAGCAAGAAATTTGCTTAGATTTCCACTGAATGGCAAAATGTGACATTAGCAAATTCTTCTCAAAAGTGTTGCTGAGTATCTAGAGAGCATCCCTGTTAACTTCCAGTCATGTTTAGAATACCATACTGTCCAATATTCTTCCAAGCATGAATACTTTGGGTCGGGGGGACTGTTAATCTCAACGGCAATCTATTGTGAAAAAGCAATGCTTCTTCCCTCCACTAGACTGCAACACAACTGGTGCTGCTCTTTCAATTTATTTACAAACATTTTCACATTATTACCTGGATCTGTAAAGCTCAAATCTGTGTTTTCATAACTTAGAAAGCTCCCAGTAGAAACAGTTCCTGAAGATAATGGCTCATGAGAAATCTCTTGTGTTTTGGCCTAGAAATTAAGAGGAATATTAGACCATGACATAGGTAGTAATAACTAAAAAAAAAACCAAACCATCAACCTCAGCAGTTACCAATTCTGAGCTCAGGTCAAGTGTAGAAACCTTCATAGTTACAAAGGTCAGTAGTAAAAACCTTTTCATCATTGCTCAGAAATGATTAGCCTTTCATACACATGCATACATACACATAAATACACAAACACACCCCTCCAATCTCATTCATGCATCAGCAGACACTCAGTTATCCACTGACATCTTTATGAAAACACACACACACGTGCACACACACACACCCTTCCAGATATAAGCCCTTATTGTTTTACAGTTTTGCTTCTCAGAACTGTAGAGATCATGCATCAGGTAGACTGGAATGTCTTCTGATGCTCAGATTTGGCTATTTTCATCATTGATCCACTTCAGTAAGAGCAGATCTCAGAGAACACAGACTTTAATATTTCACAACTTCTGTACACCGGAATATGAAGCCAAACAGCCCTCAAAATTTAGTAAATATTATTACTAACCTCATTATCTGGCTTTACATTCAGACCCAGATATGTATGCTCTTCTTCCTCAACAGCATAACTTAATACTGCATGATTTTCAAGAATAGACTTCTTGACCTTGACTGAAAAATGGATTTTGGAATTCAAAATGGGGGGAAAAAGTTTGGATTAGGACACATCAAATTCTTAGCATCAGAAGGCATCATCCCCTGCTTTCCAACAATTTGTTTTAATATTTTGCTTTTTAGAGTTGCTTTATTTTATTTTATTTTATTTTTTTTTTTTTTGAGACAGAGTCTTGCTTTGTTGTCCAGGCTAGAGTGAGTGCCGTGGCGTCAGCCTAGCTCACAGCAACCTCAAACTCCTGGGCTCGAGTGATCCTTCTGCCTCAGCCTCCCGAGTAGCTGGGACTACAGGCATGCACCACTATGCCCGGCTAATTTTTTTTTTTATATATATATCAGTTGGCCAATTAATTTCTTTCTATTTATAGTAGAGACGGGGTCTCACTCTTGCTCAGGCTGGTTTTGAACTCCTGACCTTGAGCAATCCGCCCGCCTCGGCCTCCCAAGAGCTAGGATTACAGGCGTGAGCCACAGCGCCCGGCCTTTTATTTTATTTTTGAGGCAGAGTATCACTTTGTTGCCCAGGCTAGAGTGAGTGCCGTGGCATCAGCCTAGCTCACAGCAACCTCAATCTCTTGGGCTCAAGCGATCCTACTGCCTCAGCCTCCCAAGTAGCTGGGACTACAGGCATGCGCCACCATGCCCGGCTAATTCTTTTGTATATATATTTTTAGTTGGTCAATTAATTTCTTTCTATTTTTAGTGGAGACGGGGTCTCGCTCAGGCTGGTTTTGAACTCCTGACCTAGAGCAATCTGCCCACCTCGGCCTCCCAGAATGCTAGGATTACAGGCATGAGCCACCGTGCCCGTCCTGAGTTGCTTTATTTTAGATCAAAGAAAAAAGTTCACCTTATTATTTGTTAAAAACATTTACTAGTCAGCACAATATACATTTTCTGGAAATTTGCAGCTATCATTATTTTATGAATAAAATGCTTTAAAAATATTTGAATATTAGGTCTAAAAGCTAGAATAGTGCCAATTTGATAGAAAATATTGTCATTATTTTAAGTTGAGAAAAATATTCCATCATACACACAGTATGGTCCAAAAGGTAAGAAAAATGGATATAAAAGAGACAATAAAGAAATACACCAAAGTGTAACCAGTGGTTGCTTATGAATGGTAGCACAAGCAGTAATTTCATTTTTTAAATATGGAATGCTTCACGAATTTGCGTGTCATCCTTGTGCAGGGGCCGTACTAATCTTCCCTGAATTGGTCCAATTTTAGTATATGTGCTGCCGAAGCACACACAAAAGGAATAATTTTTACTTATTCTGTTTTAGTGTTTTCTAAATTCACAATGAGTACATATTGCTTTTATTTGAATGATCATTCCAAATTATATTTGCCACATTAAAACATATAAAAATAATACTTCTGTCTCATGTTAATAACTCAGGCATTTTGAATTGATTTTTTTTCTTATTCCAAATAGCCAATATTTGTGAGAAAGTTTGCCAAGGCATACGATAGTCTGTGGCTCTGAAAAGAATAAAATTGAAACTGCTCCACTGAATATAAACAAAATTCTGCCTCATTATCACCATATTATTAAAAGATACCATGCACATTAAAAGTATGTTTCTTAAATGTTTATAAAAGAAATATTTTAAAAATGACAACCCACTAAACATAAACACTCACACATACATATCTATCTGTATATGTGTTAGATATTTATTCATAAAATAATATCTATATCATGGTTAATGATATAAAAACAAAGCTAATAGCAAATACTGGCTTTTCATTAAAAAAAAAAACTTTAAAAATATTTTATACATACCAAGGAATACTATTATTTGTCTTCAATTTTTTTTACATTTTCCTAGTTCATTTAAAAATATATTATTGTGAAATAACAGATTTAACTATTAAACTTACTTAGTTTCTTCTCTAAATACTAAATTTTACATAAAGAAAATAAGACATGGTAAATTTTATAGCGAGGTGTTATTTTTTTCTTTTTTTGTTTGTCTTAGGCTAGTCAAGTGAAGCAGCTAATTTAAAAATGAGAAGTTAATCTGAGGCTTTTCACTTTATTTGCTGTATGATTTATTTGCTGTATCTATAATATACCTAGAAGACTCCCCCAGAGGAGACATGAATGAACAAGGTAGCATTTGGGTAGTGGTAAGAAATGAAAAATACTGGCCGGGCGCAGTGGCTCAACGTCTGTAATCCTAGCACTCTGCGAGGCTGAGGTGGGTGGATCGCTCAAGGTCAGGAGTTCAAAACCAGCCTAAGCAAAAGTGAGACCCTGTCTCTACTAAAAATAGAAAGAAATTAATTGGCTAACTAAAAATATATATAGAAAAATTAGCCGGGCATGGTGGCACATGACTGTAGTCCCAGCTATTTGGGAGGCTGAAGCAGGAGGATCACTTAAGCCCAGGAGTTTGAGGTTGCTGTGAGCTAGAGGCTGACACCACGGCACTCTAGCCCGGGCAACAGAGTGAGACTCTGTCTCAAAAAAATTAAATTAAATTAAAAAAAAAAAAAAGAAGTGAAAAATAAAAGTGAGAGAAAGGATCAAGGTCAGAGTTAAACAGTTTGAATCTGGGGATGATTATGAGAAACAAAAAAGCAGCTCCTGATATGCAGGAGCTGACCTGGCATTATCAGCTAGGCACTGGTGTTCTGCTGTTAAACAGCAACAATTTCATGGAACACTAATATCAGAAAAGGCCACTCTGTGAGCATGATGGATGGAGACAAAATTCAGACCCCTCAATGCCTAAACACAGATAAAACTATGACTATGGTCAAACTCCAAAAATAACCAGGCACCCTGTCATCCTGAGTAATATGAGTAACTGAAGCATCTTTAGTCAGCTCTAGTCTGACTCCATTCTTCCCACCTCTTAGATAAGAATTTCTTGGGTACCCAGTAATAGAATTACCCCTGCTACCTGACAATATTTAGTACTAATAAGCAAAGTCCTATTTCCTTGAACCCTTCTCCAAATCACCTAATACAAGCCTAGATCCTGTAACAAGCCCTTTCTAATACCCTTACTGAGCTGCCCCATGGTTGCTCATGGTGTGCATTCTTCTTCACTGCAACGGGTCAGAAAACTCAAGCTTTGTTCAAGTACAGGTATGTCTTTGGTAGTCTTTGGCTAGAGGATATCAACAGATAGGATAAAAAGGAAATATAGGTATCTACTGGCTAAATCAAAAACAATGACATAGAATTTTATTTTAAAATGTCAAAAATTATAATTCACTGGAAATTATATTTTTTACAATTATTTTTAATCTATAATTTTTAAAGGAGATGTTAAAGTCAATTTTTTTTTTGCTTTTTGGGGACAGGGTCTTGCTCTGTTGCCCGGGCCAGAGTACAGTGCTGTCATCATAGCTCACTACAGTCTCAAATTCCTAGGCTCAAGTGATCTTGCCTCAGCCTCCAGAAGAGCTGGGAATATAGGCACACACCAACACGCCCACCTAATTTTCTATTTTTTTGTAGAGATGGGGGTCTTGGTGTGTTGCTCAGGCTGGTCTTGAACTCCTGGCCTCAAGTGATCCTTCTGCCTTGGCCTCCTAGACAAGTCAATTTTAAAAATATAAACCCTCATTGGGCTCTGTTGTGCAACAGATAGTGCATTTGACTTCTAAAAACCCTTAAGAGAATAGGTCTCTCTCCTCTCTCTTTCTATTAAACTATAGATACAACTAATATATCAACTATCTAAGTATATGTGACAGCCAAAATAAAATCTGGTTGGAAAAGGTAGTATCTTAAAAGCAGCCTTACAACTAATAAAACGGTATTAGAACTATGCTTTGTAGGGTCAGTGTGTGATACTGCACAGAAAACATCTTGTTATATATACGCATAAATTCTAAAGCAAGAAAATTTACATTGGCTGTCTTTGGGTGGTAGGGCTGATTTAAAGATTGTTCCTTCTGTGCTCACTTTGGTAGCACATATACTAAAATTGGAACGATATGGAGAAGATTAGCATGGCCTCTGGGGGGAAAAAAGATTGTTCCTTCTAATTTTCTTTATCTTCCAAATATTTAAAAATAATTATAAAGCAGGTCATTTAGAATACCCACAGATAGAAATTTTAAAAGAAGCCGGGAGCAGTGGCTCATGCCTGTAATCCTAATAGTTTGGGAGGCCAAAATGGAAGGATTGATTGAGGCCAGGAGTTCGAGAACAGCCTGGGCAACATAGCGAGATCTCGTTTTTACAAAAACGAAAAAAATTTTTTTTCTAAAGATGATATTTAACAGTATTTAACACACTGATTGCCACACAAAAAATTTAGAAATTTTCCTTGGGGCCATAGTATTTTATTACAAAAACAGAATAAAAACGTCAAGTGTAATTTAAAGGTAAAAATAAATAGAAAAACAAAATTTATTGACTTCTATTCATTTAATCCATGTATTTAGAATTAAATTATCAATATTAATTATAACAATAAGAGTATCAACAAGTAAGTTTTTATATATGCTTCATAGCCAGGCATGGTGGCTCATGCCTGTAATCCTAGCACTCTGGATCCTAGGCTGAGGTGGGCGGATCACTTGAGCTCAGGATTTCGAGACCAGCCTGAGCAAAAGCAAGACCCCATCATCTGTACTAAAAATAGAAAAATTAGCCAGGCGTCGTGTTTTACGCCTGTAGTCCCAGGTACTTAGGAGGCTAAGGTAGGAAGATTGGTGTGAACTAGGCTCATGTCACACACACCACTTTAGCCCAGGCAACAGAGCAAGACTCTGTCCCTCAAAAAAAAAAAAAATTTTTAAAAGAAAAAAATGAACATGTATACTTCATGTAGCCCTGGGGTCAAAACTAGCATGAGTTAAATACAATTTTCATGGCAGTTAATGTGTTAATTAAACGTGGATTGTTACAAACAGGCTTAAACACAAAATTTATAGAAGCTGTCAACTGTATAAAATTCATGCCCTTGTATACTTCCTACTAGTATTTAACAAAACAATTTAAAAGATTACTTATTTTCTAAATAAACTTTACTTCCCTCATTCAACTTTTTATATGTTTAATAAGCGCCAAAACTATAATATGTGAACATATAATACAGAAAGTGAAATCCAGTCTCCAACAAAGGTACACCTGTACCAACACTTTGGTGATTATCATTCTAGATACCAGACCCTTTTCTATGTATGAAGAAAAATTTTTCCCTCTTATTTAACAATTGCACAGAAAACATAGTATGGGTGTGCCATGATGATTCCATTACCAACAGTCACACCACATAACAGAGGTTATTTACCATTTTTCACTATTACAAATAATGCTACAGTATCTTTTGTCTACAAATCCTTATACACAATAATTCCACTTTCAATTTATCTCTTACCTGGTTCATTATAGTCATCACCATAGACATTCTCCTGGGCATTTGGTTGAAGACAACCAAATGGATCACGGGCCAGCGGGCTCCCAAGGAAACTTTGTTCTCGGCTTACTGAGACTCTCATGGGATCTCTGTCTTGATAAAAATCTAGTTTACCTGGGGGAGAAAAAAAAAAAAAGACTCACTAAATTGCCACTTGAGTTTCTAGAGCTAGGTAGAACTAAAATGGCAATTTAGGTTGTAGGCAGAAATCTAAAATCTTAATTCAATTTTACTAAGTTTTTAATGATACCCTTTCCTCCCCATACCAGATTATGCTTCAGTATTGACTAGTCACAAGAAAAATGCCCAGAGAATTTACTATTAATAGTATTATTTAATATAAGGTATAATATGCATTTATAATATATATACATAAAGTTCAAAAAGAGCCACAATTAAATTTCTGGTGTAAAAAATCAAGATGGGGCTTAGAGGAGAGGGAACAATAATTAACAGGGTGCAAGGGAAGAGTTTATGGGGTTCTCTAATGTTCCAGTTCTTGACTTGGGAGGTGTTTACATGGGTATGGTTATTACAGTGATAAACCACTGAAACAAACACAATTTGTGCACCTCTCTGAATGTTATACTTTGATACAAAAACAAGTAATCACTCCATAGTATATATGTACTATATTTAAAAAAAAAAAAAAGTAATCAAAGGAGTATAAGACACCCAAAAGCAGCAGCCTAACTTACTATGTAGAACTGTCAAAACATGTGGGAATTAAAGGCACCAGGTATTATCAACACAAAAGGAAGATGTGTGCCAGGTAACTGAAAACAGGAAGAATGTTTAAAACTACGTACTTGGATCAGTTGGATCCCCCCAGTCTCCCAAAATTAATTAGAAATTCAAACAGAACTGTTTACTAAGAATTACAGGGAGGAATTTTTAAATAACTGGATGTATAGAGGAGCACAGCGAAGAAATATACCTGTTCTCATTGTCCTTAAAGCCAGGATGTAAGCATAACCCTATAAAACTGCAGTCCCCAACCCCCAGGCTGTAGACCGGTATCAGTCTATGGCCTATTAGGAACCAAGCTGCACAGCAGGAGGTGAGTGCTGGGCAAGTGAAGCTTCATCTGTATTTACAGCCACTCCCCATTGCTTGCATCAAGTCTGAGCTCTGCCTCCTGTCAGATCAGCAGCAGCATTAGATTCTGCATTGTGGTGAGCTGTATACTTACTTCATTACATATTACAATGTAATAATAATAGAAATAAAGTGCACAATAAATGTAATGCACTTGAATCATCCCGAAACCATTCCCCCCTCCTATGAAACTGGTCCTTGGTGCCAAAAAGGTTGGGGACTGCTGCTATAAAAGATGTAAGAAAAGAGCAGTGACCGTATTAAAGTAGGAAAGTAGCAAAGGAAGAGAGAGAGAGAGAGAGAGAGAGAGAGAGAGAAACAAACCCAAGTTACCTCCTAAGGAAACAGGTTTAGAAGGCAAGTAGAAGGAAGTAGACAGAGCAAATTCAAAAGATGGGATATTGAAGAATTTGTATCTATAATAAATTGGTTCCCCCACATACAAGACAAATAAACTATTAACACCTAGTTATGTAATGCCACATTTTCTTTAAGTTAAAATTTTAAATACTGTTTATGTAAATTATTTTCTCCCTTTCACAAGTAGTTACAGCCTAGTTTCTTTAACAAAAAAATGTATCATCCTGAAAAAATGTAGAAAACTTGAAAACACTAAAAAATTTTATTTTTTTTAACTATTTGTTTACCTAGTATAGAGGGTCTGTCACTTGCTGGTGATTCTAATTCTTGTATAGCACTAAGTTCATGTTGGTTTAAGTCCAAACCATATTTAACTTTTGCTACAGGTGGCTTTGAGGATCTTCTACCCAGTTCTTTGTCCAGATGCTCACCTATCAAATCAATGACAACATTAGGCACATAAAAATCTACTAACACACTATAAACTTTTCATCAACAAGACAGCTGCAGGGGATGAAAACAAAGAACAATCAACAGAATACTTACAATGAAATATGATTTATCTTACCACTTTGCTTAGCACTAGTATCTTCTGAAACCAGCTCATTATCATTAGAGTTGCTCCTATCTGCATGACTACTGTTTTCCTGATCATCTCTTGATAGGTCTTGGATATGAGGAAGACACTCTCTGAGCTGTCCCATCTTCTGGGTTTTTAAATCACTTGCAACTGTGGGCTGAAAAAGTGGAGAGATGAGGGTGGGGACGACACAAATCGAGGGATCACGTGAAGAGCTCATCAGATTTATCTCTCCCTTCTTAAATTAGAACCTCAACCAAATAAAAAGTTCCATCAGTCATACTTTACAATTTATCCACAGGTAAAAAATGAGATATGCTTCCAATACTGAAAAGATGATACTCCCATTGAAAAGTACAGGCCGGGCGCAGTGGCTCATGCCTGTAATCCTAGCACTCTGGGAGGCCGAGGCGGGCGGATTGCTTGAGGTCAGGAGTTCGAAACCAGCCTGAGCAAGAGCGAGATCCTGTCTCTACTATAAATAGAAAGAAATTAATTGGCTAACTAATATATATATGGAAAAATTAGCCGGGCACGGTGGCGCATGCCTGTAGTCCCAGCTATTCGGGAGGCTGAGGCAGCAGGATTGCTTGAGCCCAGGAGTTTGAGGTTGATGTGAGCTAGGCTGACGCCACGGCACTCACTCTAGCCTGGGCAACAAAGTGAGACTCTGTCTCAAAAAAAAAAAAAAAAAAAAATGAAGTGGCCTTTTAAAATAAAATAGATACATTCAAAACATAGAACACACTCTTGTCTCTCATATAGAGAAACTACGAATATCTGACTATGAATGATTGTGCCAAAGTCTTCTCAACAATTCAGAAACAAGCAGCAGATTCAGCTCTCCAACAGCCCCAAATTATACAGATTTTGCAACAAATAATGTCACTTAAGGAAAAAGTGAGCACTGATTTTGATTTACATATAAATGTCAACAAAGTGCTATCCATAAAGAGAATGTCTGCTATTGCATAAGAAAAAGTATGTTAATCAGTTATTTTTACAATTTTAATCTTATCGTAAGCTTAAAACCCATTATTATGAAACTCCAAATGAGAATCTATTAATACATTCTTTTGTGGTGTTTGCATTTGAAATTACTTGGGCTTCAAATAACTACTAACATCATAAACACCATGCGAGGTAGGTCAATTTTTCTTTTAATTTCTACATTGTTTAGGCTAGAAAATTCAAGTACACTTAAGGTCAAACTAATTATTAATGACTAAAAATTTGTAAGCCTAGGGTTAAAACTAAATTGTTTAATTCTTAGACATTCAAGTTCAAAACATACCTGACTGTCTTTAAAGACATCTGTCAAAGTCTCTTGGTGTTTCTGTATCTGCTGCTGCAATGCTGTTTTTCTCTGAACAAGCAATTCTTCTTGTGCTTTCTGGCTATAATGCAGAACTTCTTTTTGTATATCCAACTGCTTCTGAAGTCCCAAGTTATCTTGCTGAGCTAAGATAGGCTGTGAAAAACTCAAAAGTCTAGCTTCAATTCCCGGGATGACAGAATCAGCTAAGGAAATTGCATGTTCATTCTGGGCTGAACACAATTCACAAATGCTTTTAGATTTACCTTCAGCAAATGGCAGTGGAATAAATGAGTGCTCTAAGTCCTTGGGTAGAAACAAAGAGGGGACAGCATGCTCAGCATATTCACTTTTGTTCAACTTACTTTGTTTGTTTAAAAGCAGTTCGTCCTGGGGTTCTTCAGAAGAATATACCACTTCCCTTTCTGAGTCCAATTGCCCTGTCGAGGAGCCAATCTGCTCAGATGATACCCTTTTCTCCAATTTACTTAACCTTTCGAAAAGCATTTCTTCTTGGACTTCTTGTCTAGATCGAATGGCTTTCCTTTGTATATCTAACTGCTGTTGAAATGCCTGCAAATCACCATGGCAAGGTTGGATAAAATGCTCAGAAGAGATCTCTTCCTCAAATTTACATGGTTTTGGCAAAACCAATTCTTTCTGGGTTTTCTCAATAGAAGGAAGGGAATTTATTTGTGCATGCGAGTGTTCTTCAGATGCGATCAAATTATCTTGTTGAGGTAATACAGGATATGATAAACCCAATAGCCTATCCGGCAATCTTGGTATCTCGGAAGGACCCGAGGAGACTGTATTATCATCACTGTTTGTTGGACAAGGTTCTTGTGTGTTTTCAGATCCAGTAAGAGGTAAGGAAGCAAGCGAATGCTGCACCAATAGGGCTAAGGAAGAGGTGTTAATCAGCTGAGGAGATACTCTTCCCTTCCACTCACTCTGTTTCTGTAAAACCAGTTCTTCCTGAGCTTCTCGTCTAGATTGAATGATGGCTTCCCTCTGTGTAGCTAACTGTTCTTGAAGTGCCTTTAAATTATCTTGTTGAGGTTGGATAAGTTGTGATATTCTCAAAAGCCTATCCTGCAACTGTGGTATCTGAAGATGTCCTGAAGAAATTTTACTACCATTCTCTGTTGAAAGGGCTTCCTGGGTTGTACCAGACTCAGCTGAACGTAATGAAGTAAATGAACGCTGCACTAACTGAGGTATGAATGAAGATGAGACAGTTTGTTCAGAAGATGTATTTTCTTGGGTTTTCCAGCTGAAATGAAAGGCATCTTTCTCAGGGTCTAGCCATTCTTGGTGTTCCTCCAAATTACCTTGTAGAGGCAGTATGTGTTGTGAGAATCTCAAAAGTCTGTCCTGAAATCTTGGGACCTTCAAATGGCTTAAGGGAACTGTACTGTCATTCTCGATTGACATACATTCCTGGAATCTCTCTGACTCAGCTACCTGGGATACAGATGATGAGGTTCCAGTTTGTTCAGAAGAAATTATTTTTTCTGATTCACTTTGTTTGTATACAAATCTCTGAAGTTCTTCTTTAGTACCAACTATCACCCTCTGTATGTGTGACTGTTCCTGGAATGCTGTCAAATTTTCTTGCTGTGGCAGGCTACGGTGTGGGAAAACAAAAGACTTATCCTGAAATGTTGAGGATATCAAATTACTAGAGGGAATTATATTCTCCTTCTCCAAAAAGTAATGTTTCTGAATTCTACTGGGCTCAGCTTTAGCAGAAGCTTGTGAAGCAACTGAATGTTGAACCATTGGTGAGAAAGAACTCATCTGGCCAGACTTATCCCCCAAATCCCTTTGTCTATGTAAAAGTAATTCAGGCTGAGCTCCAGGCCTAGCCTGAAGAGTATCCCTCTGTGTAGTCATCTGTTCTTGGAGTGACTTCAAACTCTCATGTAGAGGTAGGAACTGTTGTAGGAAACCTGAAGACCTATCCTGAGATTTTGAGATTTCAGATTGGCTTAAGAGAAGTCCTTTCTCACTTTTAGATGGATACTGTTGCTGGATTTTTCCATATTTTGTATCAGCAGAAGGTAATGAAGTAAATGTATGCTGAGCAATCTGAAATGGGAGAGAAGAGAGCTCAGCCTGTTGTGAACATTCTCTTCCACCTGATTCCCTCTGTTTATGTACACATAATACTTCCTGGGCTTCCCGCCTCGCCTGAAGGATATCCCTCTGAATATTCAACTGCTCTTGGAGAAATTTTAAACTATTTTTCTGAGATAAGATAGGCTGTGAAGAACTCAAAAGCCTATCCTGAAGTTGTGGGACTACAGGATGGTCTGATGAAACTGCAGTATCAGTCTTGGTTGGAGAAGATTCCTGGATTCTTCCCAGTTCAGCTTTGGCAGAAGGCAGTAAAGCAGATGAATCTGGAGCTACCAATGGAAGAAATACGGAGAGGCCAGTTTGCTGTTCCAATTCTTTCTGTTTGCTCAAAAGCAATTGTTCCTGAGCTTCTCGTCTTGCCTGAAGAACATCCTTCTGTAGGTCTAACTGTTCTTGGAGAGCCTTCAGATTACCTTGCTGGGCTGTGATAGAATCCTCTGAGTATGGCAAAAGCCTATCATGCATTTGGCTGATCACAGAATGGCTTATGGAAACTGCACTTTTGTTTGCAGTTGAAAAGGGTTCCTGGTTTTTTCCAGATTCAACTTTAACAGGCAGAGAACTAAAAGAATGCTGAGGTGCCAGTGGTAGGAATGAAGATGGTTCAGTTAGCTTAGAAGATATACTTTCACTATCCTCTGAGAGTATTTGCTGTGAATGTAAAGTTTGAAAAGCTGTTGCCCTTAATGTTTCAGATATTTTTGTAGCATCCTGTAATATCAGTGGCCTGACATCTGACAAAGCCCTTGAAAGTATATGAGAATCTTTAGGGACCAATTTATAGTCTCTCTGTTGCATTTCAGTCGGTGAGAATTGCCCTAGACGTTCTTGTGATTCTAAAGATTGCTTAGCTAAAACACCTGAAGTGCTAAATATTTCCGTTGTTTCTACCGGTCTTTGTAGAAAATAATTTTGTCTTGGTACTTGAAAATGATCTTGTTCTAATTTGGAGATCTGTGTCAGTTGTATGGGTTGATATTTGTTAGAACTCAATTTGGGTCTCTGACCTTGATCATAATACTCTGATACAGCAGTGAGTCTTTCAGATTTCTGTGATGGTACTGATGCAGTAGATGATGGAGCTGACATGGATGGGTACCTTTCTCTTAACACAGCTTGATATTCAAGTAATCGTTTCTTGGCTGTTTCAATAGACTGCCTGTGTAACCTACCAAAAACAAACACATATATTTTTTTTAATGAAAACAAAAATGCCCCACATACTCAAGTGCTTATACATTAACAGCAGCACTATAGGATTGACTGTAATCATGGTAGAAAAGAAACAACACACTTCCCTTTGAAAGGGGCATAGTTCTAAGGGAATCCCAATCAGATTCTCATATAAATCAAATAATAATAAATAATAAATCCTAAAAATGTAGCCACACACTATTACATATAAATTATACCCTAATAGCTAATACCTGTTTTGTTGTAAGAGCTGATGTTGATAGTTACGAATCATCTGCCTATGATTATCTTCATCACAAATTACAGTGCATGATGCTGGAGCAGCGCCAACCTAATAAAAGACAAAGCTACTAATTAAAAGGCAAATTCAGAAATAAGCACTGAAGTATTTTATATGAACTAAAGTTCTGTAATTGTAAACTTCCACACAGTTTTGTTTTTATGAAAAGATTGGCACTTTCATTAGTAAGAAATGAAGTAATCTAACATTTTCCTTTAATGCCAAGTCCGAATATTCAACGTATGCATTACATGCAAACCAGGGTCACACATATTGGCTCCCTACAGAAAATAAAAGATGAAAGTCATCGTGCTGGTACAAGCTTATTTATATATACATACATTATTAAAAGAAAAAAATGATCAGATAAAAATTTGAAAGGCGTTTTACTTTTCTAGAAGCTCTGATTGCGCATCTTTTCTTGTCCCCCAAGACCCCCGGCCAAATGATTTATGTAGGGATGAGATTTCCTGCATCGTACCCCAGTCTGTTGAGGTTCTTTTCTTTTTTTTTCTTCCAGCTGAGCCCTGAAGCAGTCAGTTTCTAATCTTAATTTCTGTTGTTCAATTCGTTCAAGTAATTCCAACTGCTTTTGCTTCTGCTCTTCTATTTCCATTATCTAGGTAATAAAAATACTATTGATCTATTAACAACAAGTGCATACAAAAGAAAAGTTAATGTGCATTACATTAAAAAGAAATAGGTCTCATAACCAGGAGTACCCAATTATCCAAGAGGTAAAATGGTGATGCTTTATCTCGATTATTGCCACTGACGGAGGGCGGATGGGAGGGAAAGATAGAAAAAAGGGGAAAAAGAGAGGAGTAAAGAGAGTCAAAAGAAAAGAAAGAAAAAACATTAACTATTTCTATGTTGTAGGGGCACAATATAGAAATCATAGATCACCACTGAAGAACCACCTCCAGAGAAGCAGCAAATGATGTGTAGTCAAATTCTATGTTCACACCTTTAATTTTACATTGTTCCCAGTATGAATAATAACTAAAGAAATTAAATATTGAGGCTTCCCAAAATACTTTGATTTCTTAGGCATATCCATTATGAGTTATAGTTATGTAGAAGCCAAATAAATAATAGTACAATGAACAACATTTTGTGTCTTTTCTGTCAGGAATGAAACAGAAAAGAAGAAAATGGCAGAGGGATGACACATAAACTCTAGTATCATTCAAATACACATACACTCCAAGTAACATGAAGATATGTGTGAGTGACTATAAGTTTCCTGAGAATAAAGACTAGCCTGCCATATTCAGTACCTTAAATTCCCCTTTATCCGCTGTTTAGCTTTCAGCAGTTTTAGTTACCTGCGCTAAAGCAGCTTGAAAATATTAAAAGGAAAATTCCAGAAATAAACAATTCATAAGTTTTAAATTGCACACTGTTCTAAACAGCATGATGAAATCTTGTGCTGTCCTGCTGTGTACCACCTGGGACATGAATCATCCCTCTGTCCAGCGTATTCACACTGTAGACTCTATCTGTCCTTTAGTCGCTATGAGACTGTCATGACAGTGTAACAGAGCTTGTGTTCAAGTAACACTTACTTTACTTGATAATAGCCCCAAAGTGCAAGAAAGGTGATGCTGGTAATTCAGATATGCCAAAGAGAAGTTGTAAAGTGATTCCTTTAAAATGAAAAGGCAAAAATTCTTGACTTAATTAGGAAAGAAAAGATAGGCTGAGCTAGCTAAGACCTATGGTTAATGAATCTCCTATCCATGAAATTGTAAAGAAGGAAAAATAAATTTGTGCATACTATATATATAGTTTGGTACTATCTGCAGTTTCAGCCATCCAGTGGGGGTCTTGGAACATAGTCCCTGTGGGCTAGAGGGGGACTACTGTACAGTCCCTGATACACAGATAAATATTCACTAAGTAGAAAAAGGAATGCATGCAAAGTTTTATAAAGAAAAGCACTTATACTACAGATAATGAAGAATGATCTTTTTTCCAAAGTAAAAACTGTCTCCATCTGATTCTTTACCTATTTATTCCTAATCAGGCAACAGTGGCTTCAGCTGAGTTTCTGTCTTCATCTTCCTTACTTTTTCTCATTTACAGGAACCACTGAATTTAGATTGTTTGCAGTTCTGTAGCAACTCTTGAATTGCACTATCAATACAGTAGTCACTAGCTACATATGACTATTTAAACTTCAAATTAAATAAAATTTAAATTTAGTTCCTCAGTTATACTAGCCACATTTCAAGTATTCAACAGCCCACATGGCCAGCAGCTACCATATCGGACAGAGACATGGAATGTTTCTGTCATCACAGAAAGTCCTATTTATTGAATAATACTGTTTCAGACTACTGATTAGAAAACATTTATCTGAGATGAAACACTGGCTCACATAATTCTCATTTTCCAACTGTGTTTTTGAAAAAACTATGACTATAAACTGACTGGCTTAGTAATAATTAGCCTCCTTCAAGGTAATTTGGGTTAAAAAACTTTTGTGATGACAAAGTTCATCTGAGTGTCTAATATTATGACAATAACCCATTAATTCAACAAATATATATTGTGCATTTACTATGCACAAGGCATTGTATCAGAAACTATGTAGGATAAATCGAATTTTTAAGGAGATAGCCTCTGCTTTTACAAAACATAAATTTTACAGGGAAAATATATACAAAAGCATAAAATACAAAGCAGATGCAGCAAGGGTCAAATAAGTAGTACACACAAAGACAAAATGGATTTTATCAGCTGAATGTTTGTGTAAGACAAAGCAGAAAACATGATATCAGAAGTAGCCAGACACTAAGACAAATTTCACTGGTCAAACAAAATTATAGTACCCAAGGGAAGAAAGAAACTTTTAAAAATAAAAGTTCAAATTACCTGTTTCTGCCTTGCTGACATTCTAATTACGGTTGCTTCTTCTTGAGGATGAAGTAAAACTGCACTCTGAGCTGTAGCTGCGATAGGTGGCGTCTCATTTATTTCTAAGAATCCCCCAAACAAAAATTAGTTTCAATAACTAAGAATTTTGATACCACTATAATGTCCTTTCTTCTTTTATTACATGTAATTTTTTTAGGCAAAAAGATATAAAGAGTCAAGCACATTTAATTTGAGGATGTGATGAAAAGAAATACCTTGTTTCTTTCCAGAGTCTGTACATGTAAGTGTTTTATCTTCACTAGTAAGTGGTCCAGACTCAATTGTCAGTGCATCACTTTCAACTGTAACAGATAATACCATTGTTATTATTAAGACATTATCATTGTGAAGCTGAAATCAGAGCAAAATAACAAAACTCTGGCATTTAAATTAACAATTCAATCTTGGTCCATCTGAATGTCTCAGTTAAGAGCCAGTTGTCTTTCTGATGACCAGATATATTGTTACTCATTAAACTCAACACGGAAGGAAGACTAAAACTGTGAAAAGGGGAAAAGTGAAGAACCGATTAAAAAGATATGCCCCCCCCAAAAAAAAATTCTTGAGAGTGGAGGAAAAAAATTTTTAAAAATTTAAAATTAAAAAAATATGTGGACAGAGTCTCAAACACAATTGAAAAGCATAAAAGTTACAAGGGTTAAGTTGGACTGTTAAAAAAAAAAAAAGGTTGGATGGTTGGACGTGGTGGCTCACGCCTGTAATCCTAGCACTTTGGGAGGCCAAGGTGGGCGGATCGCTCGAGGTCAGGAGTTCAAAACCAGCCTGAGCAAGAGTGAGATGCCATCTCTACTATAAATAGGAAGAAATTAATTGGCCAACTAATACATATAGAAAAAATTAGCCAGGCATGGCGGTGCGTGCCCGTAGTCCCAGCTACTCGGGAGGCTGAGGCAGGAGGATTGCTTGAGCCCAGGAGTTTGAGGTTGCTGTGAGTTAGGATGATGCCACGGCACTCACTCTAGCCTGGCCAACAAAGTGAGACTCTGTCTCAAAAAAAATAAGAAAATAAATTTACTGCCCATCAGATTTTGATATGAGCTATAGAGAAAAAGCAGGGAAAAGGGAATAGGGAATGAAGGGTATAGAGATGGAGGCAAGGCTGGGGAGAGGGTAACAGCCTGTCATTTTATACAGAGTAGTCAGAAAAGACCTTACTGAGAAAGTGACAGTTGAGCAAATATATGAAGTGAGGGAGCCAAGCCATGGAAATATCCAAGAAAAGAATTTTAGCCCAAAAGATAACCAATTGCAAAGACCACAGGTCATACGTTTGCCTGTCTGAGGAAGCTGGCATCTACCCTGCAATGGCTGAGGAGGAAAGTATGGTAGAAAATGAAGTCAGCGAGATAGTGAGGACAGGAGTAGTGGAGGGGAGGAGTTACATACACACAGATCATATAAGACTTTCAAGCCACTATGTACACTTTGGGTTTTACTGAGTAAAATTTGTAGCTATCAGGGGGTTTCACCCAGAGAAATTAAGGAGCTGACTTGTGTTTTAAGAGGACCGCTCTGTGAACAGACCATAGCAGGTAAGTGCAAAAGCTGACAATAGTTATTTACTACAAGAATTCACACTAGAAAACAAACATGGCTTAAACTAAGATGTAGGCAGTAAGAAATGGTTGGACTTTGGATATGTTTTGAGGGTAGGACTAACTGGATTTGCTGAGGGTTTGGATGTAGAGTATGAAAGAAGGGAACCAGACTGAGGCCTTTTCTCATTCACCATGAGAATGGTGTCCATGGTGTCCCTAGATAAGGGGTAGTCAAGGGGCCTCAAGGAAGTTTTACAGGGTGAGTGGGGGACAGAACCATCATATAATTACCCCAAGATTACACTAAAAAGATGCTCACTGCAGCACAAGAAATACAAAGAAAAATCAGAAACAGCCTAAATGTTTCAATAATAAGGAACTGGTTAATTTTGATTCACTGACTACACTGGAATATATATATATATTTAAAATTCATATATACATGAATAATACTATATTGAAAGTGGTCTGGAAGGAGATTCACTAAGAGTTTTAACATCTGTTTGATGTCTTTAAGTAGCAGGATTGTTTTCTTCCTTTTAACCTCTATTCTTTGATTTTTCAAGAATGAGCACATTTTGGACAACTTAAAAAGGATTGATATGAAATGAGATTCTTAGAACCACCTTGTTCCTGTACAGCGGATAACGTTCTCTCTTCACTGTCAATTGCTCCTGACTCAATAGTTGGTGCTTTACTACTCTCAGTTTCACTAGCATCCATAATCATTTTCATAGCATCCATTTCATTTTCATCCTCAGACATGGATTTAATTGTCCAGAGAGATTTTTGGCTTCGGATCTTATTTAATAATTTTCTGAAAAGAACTTTTGAAGGGATCTGTTGGGTCTTCACTGCCAAGGGAACTAAAAGAAAAAAAGGAAATAAGTATTCAGTACCTATTATATATCAGGCAAATTGTTCTAAGTTCATACTCAGTTAACCACAAGTTAAAAGCACAATTTTATTTTCCTCAATATTTACAATAGTACATACAACAATGTTATTTGACTCCAATCACTATTTTATAACCAGGAATAATTTTTTCAACTTAAATTTAAATAGCAAAGGTGCCAAAATTCAACTATTTCCCAAAAATATGCATGCCACTCAAATTTGAAGTTTAAAAATTACCAGAAACGTGTTTATTCTGCTTATTAAATGATGAAGGAATTACATACCTTCTAATTAATTTGCGGGCAAGATTAGTATTCAAAATGTGTGCTATGAGATTCTATAGTCTATGCTAGAGAATGGTCCCAAATATGGCTGTGTAGTTCTTAGTACACTACAGAGGAAAACATTACTAGCTATTAATATAAAAGCAAATTAATTGCTCCCAAATTATTCCTGGTACTATCAGGGAAAAATTTCTCCTACCAATCTTCATAAAGAGATTCCTTCAGGGAAAGGGAAGGAAGAAAGAAAGAAAGAAAAACAACCAACAAGGTATTTCTTCAAACATTTTTCCATAGGGGCTGATGGCACAATGTCAAAACTTAGTACAATACTAAAGTTCTCTAAGAGGACAAAAATGATGCAAGTACATAGTTCTCTGGTTTAATTAAGGAGTAAAATTTAAGAATATCTTTAACAAGTTAAAAACTGGCAAACTGTAGTTTTATCTAGCCTAAATTAAAAAAAATTCTAATTGAGTTATAACTTACAATAAGGTACACAAAACCTAAGTGAATGAATTTTATATGTGTCTATGTAACACCATCCAGATCATTATGTAGAATATTTCCAGAAGGTTCCTTCATGCCCCCTCCCAGTCAATATATCCCTAATCACCATTCTAATCTCAAGACAGATTAGTTTTGCCCATATTTTAAATTTCATATAATCATGCAATGATTTCCTTAGGTATTCTTTTTCACCTGGCTTCTTTCACTCACCATCAGTCCATCTGCTTTTTTTTTCTGGACCTGTTGCCTGGGATAGAGTGCAGTGGCATTATCATAGCTCTCTGCAACTTCATACTCCTGGGCTCAAGCAATCCTCCTGCTTCAGCCTCCCAAGTAGCTGGAACTACAGGTGTGCACCACGCCTAATTTTTCTATTTCTTGTAGAGACAGGGTCTTGGCTCTTGCTCTGGCTAGTCTCAAACTCCCGACTTCAAGTGATCCTCTCACCTAGGCCTCCCAAAGTGCTAGGATTACAGGCGTGGAACAGCACGCCTGGCCCTACCCACTCATTCTTAAGAAATAAATTAGTTGCCAATACTTAAAAATGAGATATAAAAAACAATGGGATGCCTAGTTTTTTTTTGAAAAAATCAAAAGACCTGGCAACACCAAGCCAATAATCCCAAATGAGATCAGCAGGTGCTAAGAGTAATTGTCCCTTTAGCTTCCAATTCTGACATACGAGAGGTGTGAATGATATCCCCAATGAAAATAATGGAAAAAGCTAGATGAAATAATGGAAATATCTTTTTAAAGACATTGCTGATTTGGTATGAAAATAAGACTTTGCATAGTTGAGAAATAAAATTTAAGTGAGAACCCTGAAAGGAAGGCAGTTGAGTCCTGAAATCATCTTTCTATCAAATTTATGCCAAAGTCAAAACACAGTAACCTCACACTTCTGTTTGAATAGCAGTGTGGGCACAGTAGGTAAGTATTAAGCCCAGAGCCCCCACCTGAGGAGTCTAACAGGAGACCCACATAAAGCTGGAACCGCAAAGGGGTACATCCACAGAATATGGTGAAGATGATAAGAAAGTCTGAGTGGTTTTAAACAAAGCCAATACCAGTAGATATGGGGGGAAAAGAGGCCATTTTATGAAGAGGATTTGGTTTTTAAGGAGATCTACAGGTAAAAGGGAGGGAAGTATTAAAGATAACTCACGTTGGTCTGGCTTGGGTAACTGCAGATGGGGATACCATTCATTAAGATAAGGAAAATAGGAAGAGAGGGTTTCAGCAGGCAAGAGAAGATGATAAATTTGTTAGACACTGAGTTTTAAGTACTTGTGGGACAGCCAAGTGAAAAAGTTCAGAATGCTGAAGATAGAGATGAAGTTTAGGAGATCAAATTCATCATTATACATGAACTGCCAGCAATAACTGAACACAGCAGGATCTCTGGCAATTTGATGAAAGTCTATGTTGACCTTTCAAAGAAATTCAGAGTTGAGCATGTAACTTAAATAACCTAAAAACCTTCAGGTTATATGTACATATGAATAAAATAACTTTCCTCTTATATATATGAAAAGGATCTTTAATGATGGAAATAATGAGAATGTTCTTTTCTCTTGCCACCACTCCCATTAGTGTTAGTCATTATCTGCACTTAAATTAGACCAGATTTTACTAATTATTTGCTAATGATTAGCATTTTTTTCTGTGAAATATTGTGATATTCATCTCAGAAAGGGTTTTTACCATCTGTTTCACTAGAACATATTATTTCAGCTTCTGTCACTGGAAGGTTTTCAGCTTCATCTAAATTTTCTTGTTCCATTGAAAGGTTCAGTTCTTCATCTTGGATCAGATCAGTCACAGTGGGCAAAGGCTCTGGTGCAAGGTGCAAAATCAGGTTTCCTTTCACCTCTTAATAAACAAATATAGAGACATGTTTCATTCCAAAATGATTAAAAAGAATTTGGTCATCATAGTTTCCAAGTCTAAAATATTTCAAAAAATGCTTTATCATTATGAACATATTTCCCCACCAAACCATTTAAAAGCACTATTGAAAAGTCTATTGAAAATATCTTACTCCTGTCTGCATTGTACATATCTTCAAAGGCAAATTCCAACTCTCTCTGCCAGTCTTCTTTCATTTCACTGCGCCTGTATGGAAGTTCAACTAGTTGTGGTGGCATTTGTGCTACAGTCTGTCTCCTACGTGCCAGGTCCTCTTGTTGTAGCTGTTTGAGTTCTTTCATTACTTTCTCTTGATTCTTCAAGAAAAAGAGAATTAATGAGAGCTGAGTCACAAATTTTGGACAGTAACATTAATAGTGAGGAAAAGTGGTAGAAATCATGAGAAACAGGGCCTAAGTTTGTCCCTCCTCCCCTACCATTTGCTGTGCCACAAAAAACCATTAATTTATCTATTCGAGGAATATTTGCTGAATGCCAGATACCATGTTAAGTGCTAGGGACACAATCTCGATGCTAGCCTAGTAGTGAGACCAGCAAACAGTAGTATTACGTTATAGTAAGTACTATGAAAGGTTTGTTTTGGTTAAGCCATAAAACTTCACAAATTATCTGCCAGTTACAGTTTTCCTTTCTGAGGAAAGTCATGAAGTTATTTTCTGTATAAGCTACCACAGATCCTACAATGTACTTTGTTCCAGTTCTCCCTATACCAGTCACAAATAAGCACTAAGCCCCAGAGTGACTGTGGCTTAACAGAGGATATTTCTTGCTACTTCACACTCGTATGAATCCCCATGATTAAAAGGGGATCCAAATGTATATACCTTTAAGCTTAAAGAGTGTGGCTTATATGAAAGTTGGGACACAATACAGTCCACAGCGAAAAGGTTCAGACAGGACAAAGGAAATCCTATTAGCAGTGAGAATGCATGGTTTTTTAACAGCTGTTCTTATAAGGGGACATTCTTGTAAGGGACATCAAGTCTGCAATAAAGTAGACAGAACATACATAAGAAAGTGTTTGTCAAATGATAACATATACACATTACTTATAAAGCTTTAAATTATTTTGTCACTTGGGGATAATTTTTTTTTTTTTTTTTGCCATGCCCTGAAAAAGAATTACAAGTGAATTTATTTCATTTTTATTAAGGTTCTAATCATCTCACTAAATTAACTTCAATGTTATTTGAATAAGTATACTATTCTGGCTAACTGAAAAGTTGGCACATTATTCTACTTATGTATAAGAACAATGACCACTACCACTAAAACTGTGAGCTTATGAAATTCCAGGCACATCTCTTTTCTAAAATCATTTAATCCTTACAAAACAAATGATGAAACAGAGCTCAGTGAAGTAATCTGCCAGAGATCAAATAGCTGATTGGTGAAGACAAAAGGTAAATCCAAACAGAAATTGGAGCCCACTTTCTTAACCACTAAACACTATTGCTTTTATGGAAGAATCTATTCAATTGATGGCTGTTTTCACATGTGTTTTTCTATAGGTTTAAGCTTTAAATGAGGAGAATTACTGATAATAATTGAGATATTCAGCTATTTTAGTTATAATTCACTCCCAGTTTATAAATGCTAAAAATTCAAGGGAGAAGCTCATAATTTAGTTCAAACTGTATATATAAACTTTCATAAGATATGTATTTAATTCACAATGAGTTTTTAAGTACTTCTTAAAAAGCAATTCCTAAGATGGGTGTTTAAAACATCCACAGGGATTATTAGTCAAAAAGATGAATCATTTTTATGCTGTTTCACAAGTTAAGCACTAAATGAACAATAAACATGACAGAAGTGAAGCTAAATCAATAAAGCCAGTTTTCATTACACATATTTTACAGATCTATTACAGTCACTTTTTAAAAGTTCCTGCTAGCAGGATCATGACTTTACCTTAGAAGCAATATTCTGGCAAAGCCAAAAAGTGCTTTGCTCAATAAATATTTAATGAATAGAAATTCTTCAAATACAGCTAAATGCAATTCAAAAAATTAAATTAGAAAAGTGATTAATATCTTCTTAGGCTATTTTTGTACTAATTAAAGTATTAAACTTTTAATAAATTCATTAGTAAAATTTCTACAATAGCAGTACACTGTGAGAATAGCTTAATGAAACTTGAACTTGAAACAAGAGGGCAAAGAAGGTTGGGAAATGTAAAATCATATGAATCAGAGACTAATATTTACACCCTTCCCGCTTGTCTTTGGGAGCTCATTCACTAATCAGTTCTGCAATGCTATCAGTAAGTTTACAGGTGGAATTCAATCCTTACGTGGGCCAAATGGATCTTTTTCATTGCTTGGAAACCCCGTGCATGTGCCTTTTCAGACTGTTCCATTCTCTCTTGTGCTGCCTGTTTTTGTAGTTCTTCCAATCGTTTTGCTTCTTCTTCAGCAGCCAAATGAGCATCTGGCTAGCAGTCAATCAATAACATTTTAGATAATTCTTTTTGAAAGTGTGAAACAAGCAATAACTAAAAAATAAAACTTTAAAATCATGTTTTCTACTTATATAAAATCAAATGGTAAGAAGAGTTAATTATCAACAGCATGTACCTATTAAAAGGATCAAATTGTTTACATAAAGTTTTATAACTGGTTCATTTCAAACCAGATTAGGCTACACTCATCCAAACACATTCCTCCATCTTTTTAAAGGAAAGAAATTCCATTAAGTGTTTAAAAGTAAACACAAACAAAACTAGTTAAGAAACTATAAACATCTAAGACCATGTAAATGATTCAGGGAAACTAAGATCTGACTCTGGTTTTTAGCTAACATCTGCTGCTTCGCTTCAACCTCAGGAAGGCCAAAATACTATAATATAATTTCTGGCTTCCTAGATCTCATGCATAACCAATGATTATGCCATTGCATAGTTAGCTATCACATCTCATTAACATAACAATAGTAATACACACGGAAAAAGGGGAAAGGGCACATAACCTGGATTTACTCATGTTAATTCACTTTTTTTTTTTTTTGAGACAGAGTCTCACTTTTTTGCCTAGGCTAGAGTGAGTGCCGTGGCGTCAGCCTAGCTCACAGCAACCTCAAACTCCTGGGCTCAAGCAATCCTCCTGCCTCAGCTCCGGTAGCTTGGGACCTACAGGCACGAGCCACCATTCCCGGCTGATTTTTATTTATATTAATATAATATTAGTTGGCCATTAATTTCTTTCTATTTTTGTGGTAGAGACGGGGTCTCGCCTCAGGCTGGTTTTGAACTCCTGACCTTGAGCAATCCACCCGCCTCGGCCTCCCAGAGTGCTAGGATTACAGGCGTGAGCCACCGCGCCTGGCCATGTTAATTCACTTTTAAATATAAGTATTCTAAATGTAAACAGGAGTGAAAAATCTTTTTATGTCTACATGACATGCTAAAATTCTGTCAAATGAAACAATAACTATGATAATCGTGTAAAATTATTAAAGATTTTCATGCCGGGCACGGTGACTCACACCTGTAATCCTAGCACTCTGGGAGGCCGAGGCAGGAGGATCATTTGAACTCAGGAGTTTGAGATCACCCTGAGAAAGAGCAAAACCCCATCTCTACTAAAAATAGAAAAAATTAGCCAGGCATTGTGGTGCATGCCTGTAGTCCCAGGAGGCTGAGGCAGAAGGATTGCTTGAGCCCAGGAGTTTGAGGTTGCTGTGAACTAGGCTAACATCACAGCATTGTTGCTGGGGCAACAGAGTGAGACTCTGTCTCAAAAAAAACAAAAACAAAAGATTTTCAAATACTAAGATAAATAGGTAGAGAGACTGACAGCTATGTTAAGAAAGAATATAGTTTATTAAAAATATTATTAAAGGCCAGGCACGGTGGCTCACGCCTGTAATCCTAGCACTCTGGGAGGCCGAGGCGGGCGGATTGCTCGAGGTCAGGAGTTCGAAACCAGCCTGAGCAAGAGCAAGACCCTGTCTCTACTATAAATAGAAAGAAATTAATTGGCCAACTAATATATAGTAAGAAAAATTAGCCAGGCATGGTGCCGCATGCCTGTAGTCCCAGCTACTTGGGAGCTGAGCAGCAGGATTGCTTGAGCCCAGGAGTTTGAGGTTGCTGTGAGCTAGGCTAATGCCACGGCACTCACTCTTAGCCTAGGCAACAAAGCGAGACTCTGTCTCAAAAAAAATATATTATATTATTAAAGTTTATTAAAATATATATCCCCTTTGAGCCAATAAATATTTTATGCGAATCTAAACACTAGCAGAACGAAACAAAATTTGATCAAATGAAATTATAATCTCTGTAAAATTACTTAGTATTATACAACATGTACACATTAAACAAAATAAACTAACTTAAGACAATATTTCAATCCATATAGGCCATGAGGTTTCTCAAGAAAAAAGTTGTTTAGGAATTCTTCACATCTTGAGGATAAAAGCATAATGTCAATTATAGCAAACGAAAATTTTAAAGGAAAAAAAACTTCAAAATAGCATATAACATGCATGATAAATATGGTAAAATGGCCATTCTCATATGTTGCTGATGCTTTTTAAAAGCAATTTTTTTCCATGTTGGTATATTTATCTACCAGGAAAATAAACTCTTCAATTTAGCATTTGTATGGAGTTTAGAGTGCAACAAATATACATTTTGGTTGACTGATTAATTATAAGTTTTAAAATCAATATTCAGTTAAGACCTAAAATGGATGTCATTATCATAGAATGAACTTCTAAGATGCTAAATTGAAGAAGTTTATTTTCCTAGTAGACAAATATATCCAACATGAAAAAATTAAAAGCCACTGTCATGAAGAAATAGCAATTATAATAGGATATATTTATGTTATTCTTAAGACTAGCAATTTTTTTTATTTTTTCTTTATTTAGGCATATTAATGGGGGTAACATTTTTAAGGGTTCAATAGATGCCCTTTCCCCCTTGACTAGCAACTTTTAAACCCATAATTATGTAGACAAGGTATGGTAAAATGGCCATTCTCATATGTTGCTGATGCTTTTTAAAAGCATGTAAGATCTGTTAATGAATGTTATAAAGTATGGAACCAGTAATTTCTCTTCCAGGAATCTACATACAATCAGTGATGTGGATAAAAATGTACAAGATTATTACATCTGCATTATTTACAGAAGCAAAAATTGGACCAATGGTTAAATAAATTTGATGATAAAATATTAAGTGGCTGTTAAAAATCATGTTCTGAAAAGTGTGTATGTTTATATATAAACAAAGGCTATAATGAACTCATTAAAATATTAACTATGTTACCCTTTGGTGATAGAATCATTGGTGTTTTTCCTAGTTTATACTTATGTAAATTGTTCCAATTTTCCCCAAAGAGCATGTGTTATTTTATAATAAAAAAGATAAAAAATCTACTATTTTAAAATATAACCATGTAATAGCCAACAATTTTCTTCATTCATATTAAACTATCATGTACCTGACATGAACATGCAAAGCCTGTATGAACAAACAATAAGTCAATCACCTGCTTTGTGTCCACCTGTTTATTCACAAAAGTATAAAGATGATGGTAGGTAGAACTATTGGTTTTCACTGCAGAAATTCTCTTTACTTCAATGTTCTGGAAAATGATACACACAAAAAAGCATTAATTTTCATTTAAAGCTAAATCCAGTGCAAAAAAGTAATTTTATATTTTAATCTGTTCTCATCTGAGATAAGCTAAAATCTGCTCACAATGAAATATTTTTTTTCCAGAGTTAAATTATTTTAAATTTTAATAAAAGTACCATACTATTCACTTGTACTTCAAAACATCTTCCAGGTGTTTTTAACATAATCAATATTTTTTAATCAACTCGACATCTAAATTATTTAAAAGACATTTCATTTTTAAATCCCTGAATATAAAAATGCTTACAGGGCATGTCAAATCAAATCAAAACCACTTCACTGTATTTGTAGGAAAACAACATGCACTATTATGTCCTATTTCATATCTAATCACAAAAATTCTACTGTAGTTTACATTAGTCTTATTTCTTTTCTCAATGTTTAATGATATATTTTGAGTTTTGGTCCAAAAACACTCACCAATATTTAAATTATACTTATTCCAGAACAAAACAATTCTCAGAAAAATGAAAGTGAACTACTTTCCCTCAAACCCTTTCCTATATGTTGCCATAAACCCATTCAGCCCATCACAACCTGCCACACACTGATGTTTAATTAAATCAATTAAACTAACAAACAGTTTTAAGTGTGTACTATTTCTTAAACTTTCTAGGCATTATGAATTTTACTGAAAACTAAATGGCCCCTGCCTTCAAGGAGCTCAGAGTAATAGCTCTAACAACTAGAAGTTCTAACAATTAGACATAAATTATAAACCATGCATTTTATATACAACATGATGAAAAAGACAATGCACAAAGAAATGCTAACACTTCTGTTGAGTCTTTTCTGTACTATATCCTAGCTGTGAAACCTTAGCAAAGTCCCTTAACTTCTCAGTCCCTCAGCTTTCTCAAGAAAAGTAGGTATATAGCTATCCCTATATCATAGGATCACTGTGATAATTATTTTGGGAATCAATTTATGTCTGATAAAACACTGGTAATATTATGAAGTGGCAACACTGACATAAATTCAACACAAGTTTGGAAGGCAGAAAAGTTTGAATTATAGGTTGAGAATTAATCAAAGATATGCTTGTAACACATAAGACTGTGGAATGATGAGAAGGACTGAAGTGAAAAGAGGAAAAACAACATAAAAGGCAAGAGGATGGAATTAAGGAAAACCACATAAAAATGAACAATGTCACAAGAGAAGAATTATCTTAGAAGTTTTTAAAAACTGCTGATGTCTTGGCTCCACACTAAACCAAATAAAATCAGAATGTCTGGGAACAGAGCATAGCGCTCGTATTTTTAAAAAGCTCCTCAGGTGACAAATGTACAGCCAAAGTTGAGAACTATCTAGGCAAGTCAGAAGATAATTGATGGCAAGTACCTGGAAATACATCCAGATGGTTATAATAGGGAGACCTTAATCAGTGTCTTATAATTTAGGTAAAGGATAAAACTAGAAAGGATTTTCTTCCACTAATGAAAACATTAACTAGTTAATATTCTAATTAAAGTTCAGTAAGAAACTGAAATCACAAAACAAAAATTCAAAGATGGTAATACACAGTAGATAAGAATGTTTCACTCTCCAAAATAATCTTAGTTGCTTTTAAATCAATGCCTTAAAAAAATAAACTACAGGCTTCTTGACAAGGCAGTTAAGAACTGAAGAAAATAAATCTTTAAAATTATGTAATTTGACATAAAAATGTAATTCAGGCCGGGCGTGGTGGCTCACACCTGTAATCCTAGCACTCTGGGAGGCAGAGGCGGGCAGATCGCCTAAGGTCAGGAGTTCAAAACCAGCCTGAGCAAGAGCGAGACCCCATCTCTACTAAAAATAGAAAGAAATTCATTGGCCAACTAAAAATACATAGAAAAATTTTTTAGTAGTAGTAGTCCCAGCTACTTGGGAGGATGAGGCAAGAGGATCACCTGAGCCCAGGAGTTTGAGGTTGCTGTGAGCTAGGCTAACGCCACAGGACTCTAGCCTGGGCAACAGAGTCAGAGACTCTGTCTCAATAAAAAAAAAAAAAAATGTAATTCAATTTACATTCAACTTTAAAGTACCAGTAATTCCAGAATAAGGCAATTATATATAGATTGAATTTGGAATCCCTCCAAAATTGGGATCGGTTTGAGATTTACATTTCCAACAACCCTTATCAATTATAACATGATTTCTAGTGAACCGCACTTACGTGTTTAGTCAAATCAGATGTTAGGCTGGTAGAGTTAGGATGATTAGTTAATGATTTAAAATCACTTGGTTTACCTTCTGTGTTCTTTCAATCTTCCAGCTTTAGTTTTGCTCCACAGTTAACTATTTCTAGTCTTATCTACCCAGGTACAGGGCAAAACTAGCACTCTGTGGTACCTAATACTGGTTCACACAGCAAACAAAAAGAAGGAAAAAAAAGGGCAGGGGCGGTGGCAAGTGCCCTGACAGGCCCAGCTACCCAGAAAGCTGAGGTGGGAGAGTGCTTGAGCCCAGGAGTTCAAGGCTGCAGTGCACTATGATCATGGCGGTAAACAGCCACTACACTCCAACCTGGGCAACATAGTGAGCCCGATCTCTTAAAAAAAAAAAAAAAAAAAGTATAGTCAAGGGAAGAAGTTCCATGACTATAAATAAAACAAAACTGATTTTCTCCTGCATCTGGCAAACTATCTATGAAGGCAGTGTGGAAAAGATAAAGTATTATGCTTGTAAAATGTATAATATACTATTGAAGATGCTTGATATAATGTAAGTCTTTATAGCACCTCAGGGTTTTTAATGCAAACTTTATTATTTAATAGTCTTATTAAAAGATTACAGTTATATACATTTATAGACTTTAGTGTCTAAATAGTTAACTTGAACAAGTTAGCAAACTCTGAAAGGTATATTCATGGGAGGCTCAGTGTCACAGTAAAAAGATCATGAGATTTATAAAATTAGACTGACCTTGATATTATAAACTCTGGTTCTCTCACCTCTTAAATGACTTTGGTCAGGTTAATTAACCCTTGACCTTCAATTTTCCTCATTTGTGAAATGGAAAAAACATTTACCTCGCAGGAATAATGTGGTGATAAAATTTGAATAAAAAACTCAGTACAACTAAAATCTTATAAGTACACAATAAGGCTCCATTCTCTTTACTAGGTGAACAGTTCCCTCATAAGAAGATTTTAGTTCACAAAAAAATGTTATTTCCTTGGATTAATTAAGAAAAGACCTTAGTTTGAGAAGACTAAATAGTCTAGATTCATTTCCCCAGGCTTTTCAGCATTCATATTTTTATCTGCTTGAATAAACAGTGATACAGATGCACCTATATCCTGTGTATATGACACAATGTCCTTATCTGGTAGGCTTCCCTGGTCCCCCAATACCCTGTGTCTTTCCCAAACTAGAATCCTTTTCCTCCCTTCCATGCCATCATATTCAAAACCAACCCAAAACATTCAGACACACTGCTCTATCCCAGGCACCTTTACTGACTTGGGTAATGGATCTCTTTCTAAAACAATGGTTTTCAGTCAAATAAGAATATAATTACCCAGATCTTAGTTTGTAAGTGTCATTTCTCCATTTAAAAGAACCAGGGCTCTTTGGAGATTCCATAGTGGAACAGGGTAAGCACATAGTGAGCCTAGGTCATCTACTGGGCAAAAGAGCAAGGAAGTGCTCACGAAGTAGTGGGGATATATAGCCACCCAAAGAGTCTCCTACTGATCTAATTTCAGACATATGAACATCAGCAAAAATAAAAAGAATAATGGCCATAAGTGACTGTGTAATACTGAATAAATAAAAATCCACAAGCACACAGGGATACTCACAAAAGAACAGGGAAAAATACATTTACCACCATTGGCATTATTACACCAACCCTTTACTCTGAAAACTGGTAGGGAGAAAATGAAAAATATATTCTGTCTTAAGATTACTTGGTAATTAAAAAGGGACGTATTTGATTGCAATCCTTATTAAAGGAAGCTAAAGCGAGCCGTCCCAGGGTCAGATTGGCTGAGACCCCAAGTCAGCAGAACGAGAGCCCATTGCTTGTTCCCATGATTAGCAGGATATGGCTTGTTGACTGGCTGAAGGAACTGTTTCTCCAAGCAAAGGGCCAAGAACCTATAGCCTTGCATGCAAGCCAAGGTTGCCTGGTAACCAGCACACCGTGCTAGGCATTTGCATGACAGTCTAGGATTTAAGGTCTTGCACTCCAGCTGAGACTGTTATCCAAAAGCGGTGCAAAACATCAAAGAGATCTCTTATAGAAGGCCATGCTTTTTGCTTTGACTGGAAAAGCAGGTGTTGTTGGCCATGGGAAGTCACGTACCGGAAAGTAGCTGGGAAAGTAGCTGGCATGAGAAAATAGCCGTGGGGCGCTTGCCCAATTAAACTGTATATAATAAATTGACGAGCACTTTTCCAGTGCTGCAGTCCAAAACCATCTCGTCTCTGTGTCCTTTTTTCTCCAGGGGCTGCAGCCAATTCTGTCTGTCTGCATCTTAAGTATATGTTCTGTGTATGTCATCCCCCGTTCTGTAATCAGGCCACGACACTTATAGTTAACCACCATAACCAAATGATCAAACTCAGCATCATTAATAGAAGAGTAACCTCCCATTATGTGCTTCCTGATTGATGCAAAAAACTATACAGCACTGTGTATATAGTATTCTTGCCTAAATATAATCAAGGTTTTAAAACTAAATTCCAGTTTAATGAAAATGCAGTGCAGGACACCATGTGGAAACAATGAGACAAAGGCAGAACATGAGAAACTAGTCTAGTCTGTTCAAAAGGTCTGAAAAAAGCCTGAGTTGGAAGAGATAATATTCTAAGTTAAGAGAGATTACACAGACAAAACAAGCAGAGGGAAGGCATGAACCTGGACGAGGTCTTGGTTTTTTTTTTTTTTTTTTTTTAGGCAATTACAAGATGAAGAGGTCTTGGTTTTAAAAAAAGAAAAACCAAGGCATGGTGGCGCATGCCTGTAGTCCCAGCTACTTGGGAGGCTGAGGCAGCAGGATTGCTTGAGCCCAGGAGTTTGAGGTTGCTGTGAGCTAGGCTAATGCCACGGCACTCACTCTAGCCTAGGCAACAAAGCGAGACTCTGTCTCAAAAAAATATATATATATTATTAAAGTTTATTAAAAATATTATATCCCCTTTGAGCCAATAAATATTTATGCGAATCTAAACACTAGACAGAACGAAACAAAATTTGATCAAATGAAAATTATAATCTCTGTAAAATTACTTAGTATTATCAACATGTACAACATTAAACAAAATAAACTAACTTTAAGAACAATATTTCAATCCATATAGGCCATGAGGTTTTCAAGAAAAAAGTTGTTTAGGAATTCTTCACATCTTGAGGATAAAAGCATAATGTCAATTATAGCAAACGAAAATTTTAAAGGAAGAAAAAACTTCAAAATAGCATATAACATGCATGATAAATATGGTAAAATGGCCATTCTCATATGTTGCTGATGCTTTTTAAAAGGCAATTTTTTTCATGTTGGATATATTTATCTACCAGGAAAATAAACTCTTCAATTTAGCATTTGTATGGAGTTTAGAGTGCAACAAATATACATTTTGGTTGACTGATTAATTATAAGTTTTAAAATCAATATTCAGTTAAGACCTAAAATGGATGTCATTATCATAGAATGAACTTCTAAGATGCTAAATTGAAGAAGTTTATTTTCCTAGTAGACAAATATATCCAACATGAAAAAAATTAAAAGCCACTGTCATGAAGAAATAGCAATTATAATAAGGATATATTATTTGTTATTCTTAAGACTAGCAATTTTTATTTTTATTTTTTCTTTATTTAGGCATATTATGGGGGTACAAATTTTAAGGGTTCAATAGATGCCCTTTCCCCCTTGACTAGCAACTTTTAAACCATAATATTATATGTAGACAAGGTATGGTAAAATGGCCATTCTCATATGTTGCTGATGCTTTTTAAAAGGCAATGTAATGATCCAGGCCGGGCGCTGTGGCTCACGCCTGTAATCCTAGCTCTTGGGAGGCCGAGGCGGGTGGATTGCTCAAGGTCAGGAGTTCAAAACCAGCCTGAGCAAGAGCGAGACCCCGTCTCTACTATAAATAGAAAGAAATTAATTGGCCAACTGATATATATATAAAAAAAAAATTAGCCGGGCATGGTGGCGCATGCCTGTAGTCCCAGCTACTCGGGAGGCTGAGGCAGAAGGATCACTCAAGCCCAGGAGTTTGAGGTTGCTGTGAGCTAGGCTGACGCCACGGCACTCACTCTAGCCTGGACAACAAAGCGAGACTCTGTCTCAAAAAAAAAAAAAAAAAAAAACCATAAAACAATTTTAGGGACAAATGAAGAATTTTGATTATGGACTCAATAGTAAGTAGTATTAAAGAATGTTAATTTTCTTAGTGTGATAATGGCATTGTGGTTGAGTAAGATAATGTCCTTATTCTTTTTTTTTTAATTTCACAATATTATGGGGGTACAAATGTTTAGGTTACATGTATTGCCTTTGCCCTGCACAAGTCAGAGCTACAAGCATGTCCACCCCCCACAGTGTGCACCGCATCCATTAGGTGTGAATATACCCATCCCCTCCTCCTCCCTTCCACCTGCCCAACACCCGATGAATGTTACTACTATATCTGCACATAAGTGTTGAAAAATTAATACTAAGAGAATGTTCTTATTCTTACAGGAAGCATGCTTTAGTATTTAGGGTGAAATGTTATTTCTGCAATTTACAGTAAATGTATACATACATTTATATCTATTTGAAATCTATTCACTTGTCCTCTTCTTTTAACCTCTCCGTATTTTGAAAGTTTTCATACAAGAAGTTGGGAGAAAAAAGTATAACCACACATTTACATATAATTCATACTTGCTAAAGCACAGTTTTGTTCACTTTTTGTAAATTTTTGAGACCTTGGCTTTTTATAAACATTAGGAATTACAACACAGGCAATCAACAGGCATTATGGATAAAGTATTGCCTGCTTTTTATCATCTCACATTGTACTGGGGGAGTGACTGAAATATGCCTCTTTCATCTGAACCTTGGATCAAATGTTACATGGCAGATGGCTCAACATAAAAGCAGGAAGGCTGACAGAATGCAAGGCCTACGAGGCAAATATCTAGTGCTGACACTGATCACTTACACATAAAACATACTTGTGTGTAAAACTAAATTAGACATCCCTATATCTGTGGGCTTTTATTACTTCTAACTCAACTTTTCAGATAAAAATAACTAAGTAATTTTGATAATCATCCAAATAGACATTTCAATAAGTACAACAAGCTAATGTGAAAAAGAGAATACTTTTAAAAATTAATTTCTGCTTTAATAAATTAAATTTTTTTTTAAAAAAAAAAGCTCTAAATCACAAAAGCACACATAGATTCCTCTCATTACTTTATAATCTTATACCAATTTATTAACTTACTGAACCTTAAATTATCTATAAAATGGTAACTATTTAAAATGAGCCAAATCTAGAATTTGGAAAAGTCTATAGGACAAATAACCTAGTTTTTTTTTTTTTACCCAATAAAAGGCATTAAAAAAAAAAAGGAAGAACTATTAAGAGTTTTTTTAAACAACAAAACATTATAGTTTTTCAAACAACCCAAGTTATTTTGATACCACTGGGGAAGGCTGAACACACACTGGGTATTAGATGATATTGGTAACAACATTAGTTTTATACTAAGAAAAAAATCCTTATCCATCCTTATACATTTAGCATGTATCTCTATACATACTAAAGAATTTACAGGTGAAATGAGTATTCTTTTAAAATACTCTAGATACACTCAAGTGTTTTTATACAATTAAAATAAAGTTTAAACAAATGACAGTTATTTTGACCTCCACTGAATTCTAATAGTAAAGAAGTAGTATCATAACCTAGTTCCTCTTAACACTCAAAGTAATTTACCTCAAAAAGAGCTGGAGGAGGAGGGGGCAGACTTGTAATTTTGGCAGATCTCTCTTTTTCCACAAGCAGTGCTTCCTTTCGAGCTTTTATATGCCTTGAAAAACAAGATGGCATCAATTAGCCTTTCAGTAGTAATACTATAGTACAGCTTTCATGGTTAAATACATAAAAGTCATAGGATCTCAAGAAATCCTCTAGTTTAACCCCATGGGCTTGGTATGCTATTTAATAAAGGGAAAGGGCCTATATACAGTGAGCATGCAAGAAAATGTTTACTAACTAAAAGGGGCACATCCAAAGACATAAAGCTCTACAGTGGGGACCAACCCAATAAACATCTGATGTTCTTTAGTTTAAAATAGTTAAGAGTAAAAATACTAGAAATGTTGATAAAAATGGGCCATTGCATAAAATGACCACCACTGACTAATAACAGACCCTTAACAGACTGTAACCCCAGTCTACAACCTCTTTTGATGTTCTTGATCACTCTGATTTTTATTTCTTTTTTACATCAGAGACAGATTTTGGTTGACATACATTGTTGACATACATTGTGAACAAGCCATACATTTCTCCAGAAAGTTTCTGCTGCGAAACTCGTTCACCCAAGCAATATTATTCCCCACTGCATTATTGTTAAATCAAGTTTAACAAATGGAATGGATATACTATGTGACTTTTATTTAACATCTGCTTTTATATTATCCTATGTACTCTCTACTTCCAGCCATGTCAGTTTTAGTTGAGACTATGGTAAAAATTATTATTACTTTACCAGGTTTTTTGTTTCATTAACATTTCTTTTTGATGTTTCTGTACTTTCAGGGCCTCTTTATGCCTCAAATCTGCTTTTCTTTTCCTTTCTGCTGCCCGCCACGCCAGTGCATCTAAATCAGGTTCCTAAAAACATATATTACTTAAAATGTCATGTCAAACTATTAATACAAATGCATCTCGTTTTATATCAGAAGTGACCTTTCAATTTTGTCATCCTCTTCCTACATACAATAGCAGTGTTTCCCAAAGCATGGTAATGATACTACTGGATAGGGACAAACACAGACATTTTACTTTAAAGTTAAAGTAGGGCAGGGACTTACACCTGTAGCAGAAAGAAAGACTGAGGCCAGGAGTTTGAGATCAACCTAGGCAACATAGCAAGATCCTACCTCTATAAAAAGTTTTAAAAATTAGCCAAAGTGGCACATGCTTGTAATTCTAGCTATTCAGCAGGCTGAGCATCGCTTGAACCCAGGAATTTGAGGTTATGGGGAGCCATCATTGTGCCACTGCACTTGAGCCTAGGTGACACAGCGAGACCCTGACCCTTAAAAAAAAAAAGTAATCATTTCACATATTATTACAACAATATAAATAGAATATCAAACTACTTAAGATGTGGTCACATGAAGTAATAAAAGAATCCATTTAAGTTGAAATGCCAAATATAAAGTAATACAGGTGGTTTCCTATTTAAGGTAAAAATTGTGAAGGTAGTATTCAAATGGTAGAGGTTTGGGAAATGCTGCACTGAAGCACAAAGTTAATGGTGGACACATAAAGCTATAAAATTCTAAGGTCAGAACTTAAGGCTATTATTAAAAACACAGACTAAAATTAAAAACCAAGGCACAGATTGCCACATTCTTTAAAGATTTTTTTTTTTTACCTCACTAGTTGTCAATGATTTGCCTTCTTTGGAACCAGCTTGTTTACTGTGTATGACTGACTCTGGGACTGCAGACTAGCATTTTCCAACCATAAATCACAATTAACAAATCAAAATAAGGTCAGGGAGCAGTCTTAAATACTGAGTTTTACTTTGCCTTTCTAAAAGCCATCAAAGAATTTTTGCTATTTGTGAATGAAATCCAAGTATATATACATTCAACATCTTTAGAGGTATCAGGAATAATACTGAAATGGGAAAACTGATTTCATCCCACTGAATCTGTCCAAAATGCTTGAGATGAACAGCTTCTAGTTCAGAAAGTTATTATTTTATTTACACAGATAAGTACCAGAAGAGAATAATGCTAATTTAAACATCATAGGAAGACAGATTTTGACATGAATTTTACTTGACGTGACTCTTACTCGGAAATGAACCTACTATTATTCTCAACTTATATTAAATTAATTTAAAAAAAAAACAAAAAAAACTTCAGGCTGCCCCAAACAAATTCTGTACATGCAAACATTTTTATCATACATGTATTCAACAACTATAATTTACTTTTAATTAGTATTACTGCCACAATCAGGTAGTCAAATAAGCTCTCACTCACATTTTCTTTGGCCTGTTGATGTCCTGCTCCCATATTTCTTAAACTTGCCACATAGAGTTTTTCCAAGTTTTGTATTTTCTGATTTTGTGATTCTTCCCATTCCGCCCTTAGCTCCTCTGCCAAACGAGTAAATTGCTGATTTCTCCTCTGTTTTATACCTTGTCTTATCTGTGAGGCAATATCTCTTTCTTGTTCTCGAACCTGAAGAATATGTATTTAACAGATTGTATGAAAGGAGGCTTTATTTTTTTTTTCCACAGCCCAAAAAGCTAAGAATGGCTTAAGCTTTTTTGAAAAGCTATCTGGAAATAGGAACTCAATGAATTGTCTTTACGTTTATCAATTTTCTTGAATATTCATCTTATATAAAGACTATGTACAGCAGAAAATCCAAGCAGTATAGAAAAAACAAAAATCTCAAGACTACTCCTAAAGTCCCCCAACTGATTAGCTTCTATCTTTTTCCCTCCAAAGCACTAATGACACTGCCATTATCATTCTAATAACCTAGAAAAGGCTAAAATGATAAAACACAATTCAACAAAATCTATAGTCCAGAGGAATACAGAGCCAGATGAGAACCACATTTCAGTGGTACATCATTACTGATTCTAGACAGAATAGTACCTAAAACATGCTTCACAAAGACTTAACTATCTTACTTCCAGACTTTTAAAGAAGGATAATCTACAACTTCCTAATAAATTTGTTTCAGGTAATACTTTTTCCAATAAGTCTTCTTCAAAGTCATTCTAAGCTTCCTGTTCTAATCATCATCAATTACAGATAATTTTTTTTTTTTTTTTTTTTGAGACAGAGTCTCACTTTGTTGTCCAGGCTAGAGTGAGTGCCGTGGCGTCAGCCTAGCTCACAGCAACCTCAAACTCCTGGGCTCAAGCGATCCTCCTGCCTCAGCCTCCCGAGTAGCTGGGACTACAGGCATGCGCCACCATGCCCGGCTAATTTTTTATATATATATCAGTTGGCCAATTAATTTCTTTCTATTTATAGTAGAGACGGGGTCTCGCTCTTGCTCAGGCTGGTTTTGAACTCCTGACCTTGAGCAATCCGCCCGCCTCGGCCTCCCAAGAGCTAGGATTACAGGCGTGAGCCACAGCGCCCGGCCTAATTACAGATAATTTTTTAAAAATGATATTTTAAGAACTATTTCCCAATATTTAGTCAAATAATATGCCTATTCTCCAACTCTTCTCGAATCTACTTATCATCTCAGTCTATTTTTCAAATGTTCTAAAACTAGTTAATATGCAAGAACCAGGGGTCTTGTACAGCCAGAAAAGGTTTTTAAATGCAACATTTAGAACATTCTAATTTAAAAAAATACAAATAATTTGGGGAAGGCAAAGAATTTAAAACTGTATTCCCAATAAATCATACCTGCAGCAATCTTAGTTTTCGTCTTCTTTCATAATCTTCCTTCAAAATTAAGGCTTCCTCATTAGGACTCAATCTCAGCTTGCCAGTATTCACTACTTTTCTTTTCATTTCTGTGTAATTTATATATGTAGGTCCTGAATTTTTAAAAAAGAAAAATGTCTGAAGATATATACCATTAAAACAGGGCAGCAAAGATTAATTTTTAAAATTCATGTTAATATTATACCTTTGACATTTAAAGGGTTGTATATATGCAAGGAAATAATTTGGGTAAACAATGTTCAACTTACTTACAAATAGCAATTATAAATTCAGCACTGTTTTAAATTTTTATTTATTTTTTATATTTTGTAGAGACAGGGGTCTCGATGTGTTGCCCAAGCTGGTCTCGAGTTCAAATTCGGCACTTGTATCAGCAGTACTCGGATGGGAAGGGGGAATTTTCAGAATTACTCAGAAAAGATTTTCCCCATCTCTAGGTTATTATTTACCTAGAGTATTGGGTGAACAATAATCTGACTTATTCCTAATTGGCAACTCCAGAGTTTACTTAGCTTAAATGTAAAATAGCACAAAGATTTAAAAAGATGTGTTAGCACAGGATAAAGTTTTCACAACAATTTAACAATTTCAAGAGCTCCTGGTCCCTAGATTCAACTGTCTGTTATATATATAACTTGATCACCGAGTGTCACTACATGTCATCACATCAATATGTTCTATACTCTGAACAATCCTTCAATAATTATAATGATGCAATTTTTAAATGAATGACCATTAAAAATCCCTTGTAGAAGAATAATTGTTTGAATGTGTCCAATGTTTAGATTCTACAATCTATTCTTCTGTAGCTACTGTTTATGCCTGGGTGTTCTCACTCTCCTCCCTAGATTTTAACATGCTCCCATTTGGGGTAGCATGTTGGGGAGAAATGTAAAGAATATAAGAATATGTAGTTTAATTTGAAAACCCTCCCCTCAGGTAATTCTGATATCAACTTGTTTCCATTGTCACCATTTCTAAAAATTAGACACTTAACATCAGTACATAACCATGAATTTACAAGAGACATGTCAACATTTCTTAGGTCTCCTCAATGACCACGCAGACAAACTGAGTTACTGGATACTTATATTTTTCTGAAGCTAGCTTAAGTCCCATATCCTCTACGAAGCTGTCCTCTAGTAATTCCTGTTCTATTCACTCACCCACTCCTGACCTGGCCACCTACTATGCATATTACCTATACATGCATATGGGGACTAAGTTTATATTGTCTTGGTATTACCTCCTCTAGTTTTTCAATTACAGTTTGTCCCTTCTAGCTAGATTCCTAACAACTCAAGAATGGTGGCTAGTTTTTTAAAAATTTTAATAAATGTAATAAATAATTACCAGGCAGTATTTCACATACTACGGATGGACACTGTTTTCAATCAGATGTAAAAAGAACAGGGGCCGGGAGACTGAGGGGTTACCTAATAGGGACTAATACTTTTCCAGTGACTTCATCAAAACATGAGCTCAATGAGGGCAGGTATAGTCTTATTCATTGTTTCATGTCCATAGCCTAAAAATAGTGTCTTGCACATAAGTAGGTACTTTAGTGTGTTGACTGAATGACTCATTCATTGAGTTAATTCATATAAAGTGCTACATAGGCATACACAGTCATTACTAATATGTTCTATAGGACTCTAATGTCAAAAAGGAATATTGCATTGAAAATCTTTTAATGCATCCTACTTGATACTCATAAGGCTTTGTTAAGGGTAAAGTGCTGATAATTCTTCTCATTATATACATTTAGAAACAAAAGCCTCCAGGGTTAAAAGACCTGTCCTAAGTGACAATATCTAGTAGCAGAACCAAGGGAAGAATCTGGTTTCCTTATTCCAAATGGCTCCTTACTTTCTGATATGTTAAACATGTGGAGTGAGAAACATTTTATTTAGGCTGTTATTTTTTGCAAGTGAGGACCAAAAAACAGGGAAGAATGGAACAAAGAAGAAAAACGAGCAAGATTAAATTTATTCTTCACCATGTGTCTTTATTAGTCTAAAGGTTTGAAGATTCACTCATATTCAAACTATTAAAACTATTTCCCGATGAATGCCATAAATATATCACTGAACGAAAAAAAAAAGCCAGACACAAAAGAGTATTCCACTCATATGAAGTTCAAAAAGAAGCAAGACTAGGCTGGGCATAGTGGCTCATGCCTATAATCCTAGCACTCTGGGAGTGCCGAGGTGGGCAGATAACTCAAGGTCAGGAGTTTGAAACCAGCCTAAGCAAGAGCAAGACCCCATCTCTACTAAAAATAGAAAGACATTAATTGGCCAACTAAAAAATGTATAGAAAAAATTAGCCGGTGGCCCATGCCTGTAGTCCCAGCTACTTGGGAGGCTGAGGCAGGAGGATTGCCTGTGCCCAGGAGTTTGAGGTTGTTGTGAGCTAGGCTGATGCCATGGCGCTCTAGCCCGGGCAACAAAGTGAGACTCTGTCTCAAAAAAAAAAAAAAAAAAAAAAGCAGCAAGACTAATCCATGATTAGAGATGAATATAGGGGTTACCTTTCTGGAGGTTATTAACTAGGAGGGGCATGTGGAGATTGCTGGGGAGATTCTATATTTTGATCTATATGATGGTTACACAGGTGTATACATATGTAAAAATTCCTCAAATGACACACCTAGATTTGTGTATTTTATTCAAAGTTATACCTCGATATAAAAGGAAAGAACTATAATTTTTTCTGATTCTTTTGGGTATTCATCATCTCATACCAAATTATAGGAAAACATATACATTTATTATTTTTAGCTCCTAAGATGTAATAAAATAGCTTTTGTGTATAATTAAAAAAATTTAAAATTATTTGTAAATGATTTCAGACTTAGAACTCTCATATACCCAGCTTCTCCAAACATCAACATCTTATATAACCATAGTACAATAATTAAAACCAGAAATTAACTTTGACACATTTTTTTTTTGAGACAGGATCTCTCTCTCTCTCTCTCTTGCCCAGGCTAGAGTGCAGTGGCATCATCATAGCCACTCGGACTGCTGGGCTCAAGCAATCCTTCTGCCTCAGCCTAAGTAGCTGGGACTACAGGTGAATGCCACCATGCCTGGCTAATTTTTCTTTTTTATAGAGATGGGGTCTCAACCCTTGCTTACACTAGTCTTGAACTCTTGGCCTCAAGCAATCCTTCCACCTCCCAAAGTGCTAAGATTACAGGTATGAGCCATTGCACCTGACCTAATACTTTTAACTAATCTATAGACCTTATTCAAATTTTCTCAATTATCCCACTAATGTCTACTTTCTGGATGAGGACTCAACCCAAGGACAACACATTGCATTTACTACTGTGTAACTCTGAGTCCTCCAATAAGCAGATGCTAAAAGGGGGACTAAACTGGCAGAGGTTTTTATCAGGGGAAACACCTGTGTGAAGGAATGAGAGGAGGAAGCTGGTAAAAGCTAGGAGCACCTCAGGCTTCAATGTAAGTTTAACACTGAATGAAGGAAGTACCTAAGAATGGGCAGATTGCCTCTTAGAGAGCCATGTAGTCTAAGAAAGGTTCAGAAAGAACTGGGAGTGTTTCTCAGGAATAGGCCCGCATTCATATCTCTATCACTCAGTAATTTGCTAGGAGTAGCCCATGGGAAATATGGTCACCATGCAAATGGGGGTTTCAAAATGCAGGAGAGGATGGTATGAGTCACATTCTCATGACTGCCAAAGTTGTCATGTGTCCTATAATCTGGGGCAGTTCCTCAGTCTTTCTTTCAAGACGCTGCCATTTTTTAAAATACTGGCTAGTTATTTTGTTGAATGCCCTTCAATTTAGATTTGTCTAATTTTTCTTGTGATTAGACTGAGGTTATGCATTTTTGGAAAGAACCCCACAGGAGTGATAACGTATCCTTTTCAGTGCATAATATCAAGAGGTAAATGGCAATATGTCTTACCACTGGTGATGTAAATTTTAATCACTTAGTTAAGGTGATGTCTACCAGGTTTCTCCACCAAAGTTACTAATTTTCCTTTACAAGCATCCAGTGAAGAGATAGTTGAGGCTATAGGAACATGTTTTTCATCATACTTTTGCCTGCTACATTTAGTATCCAATAATGATTGTTGTTTGAAACAACTACTGTGGTTTTATCAAATACTCTTTCCTAATTCCATTATTCCTTCTACACTTATTATCAATTGGAGTTCTACTCTAAGGCAGTTTTCCCTGCTGCTCCAGTTATGTATTACTTATTCCTATAAATACAGATCTTTAAATTTTATGTTTTATTACTAACCAATAATAGGGATACTACTTATCCTGCAAGATTTTGTCTTAAGGATTTCATCAAAGCACCTGCTACAGGATAACCACAAAATACTAAATTTAGAAGATTAGGGTTCAAGACCCAACACTGCCACTTATTAGCAGGAAGACACTGGCTAAGTCACCTTAGTCTCACTTTCTTAAACTGTATAAAGGAAGTCATAGTATCTCCCCCAACAGGTTTGCTCTCATTATGTGATTTAATCAGTGTGAAATTGCCAAATACATCCCAAGTATTAAAGTCTCAAACGTTAGCCACTGTTTTAAAAGCTGAGTTTTTGACAGGTCTTAATGAAAGGAATTAAAGACGGTACAAACCAAAAGAAAGCGCGCTTCTTGCATGAAAAGATTCTAGGCAATACTCTTAAACAGCTACCAGGTGCCAGGCCATGTCCGCGGGTGACCTGGGGGGAGCGTTTGCTGCAGCAGCAGAGGCCCTCGCGGGGCTTGGAAGCTCAGGGACCAGAGAGGCAGCAGGGGAAGCCCGCGCGACCCAACCCCGGGAGGGCGCGCAAAGCCACTCGCGCAAAGGGCGGCGAGCAGCCTCTCGCACCAAGCTGTCGGTCTGGGCCTGACGCGCCTCCAGCCTGGGGGCTCTTTACAGCCGCAGCCCAGCTGCAGGCAGGGTTTGCGGCCCGCGGGCGCCAGAGAACCGCGGGCGATGCTGCGTTCACTACGCGGCGCCTTCCTGGGATCCCCTTCCTTCGGAGCACACTCCCAGCTCCTGGGCCTCAGGGAGTCTTGCACTCCGCCACTCACCTGAGGACCCCGAACCCGGAGCCAAGAGTTGTAGCTCTAAGTAAGCTGGCCTCCGCAGCACACGCCGACCAGCTGCCGAACAGCCGTTTGTGCGCTTGCGGGGCAGCCATTGGAGAGCCGTCGTCACTTCCGTCATTCAAACCGCCCGCCAATGGCGGGGCCAAACCGCGGGAATCGAGCCGGTCCCGCCTCCCCTGGAGGCTGCTGGAAGGCCGCTCAGCATTAATGCCCTACGCCCCGCTCCCCGCGCACGCGCACAAGCACGCGCCGGCCCTACCCTACGTAGGAGCCCATTATTTGTCAATCTACGAAGGCTTGGAAGTTTTACTTCCTCTCTTAACGTGCTCATTTTACAGATCAGGACACAGAGAGTGGACGTCCCCAGAAAGGGGACGATATTTGCCCAGAGCCATAAAGGTGATTTTAGTTTTAAGGCCCCATCATGAAGATATCTTGGGATGTGCATCCTTTAATGTACTTACTACACAACTCATTGGTACTATAATATTATATGCAGTTAGTGTCTGATAGCTTTCATAGCTTTCATTTAAGGACTCCAGCTCATACATCAGTGAGCCATACCGTGTTACCCTGTGCCTCCAGAGATGCGATGCAGCTAGAACATGTCAGAAATTTATCTGCTGTAAAAAAATCTTATGGATAGAGTGAGCACAGGTTAATATTTATTGAGCATCTTTTAAGTGCCAAGTACATTGTGCTAGGTGCAGGGAAGATGAGGGTAACTGGATTATGACTTCTATACTAGATTTTGCAGTGTAGGGGGTTAAAAACATAAGGAATGAAAGGATTAGAAAATGTTGGATGGACTTGGGAAGTTGGTAACATGATCAGATCTGGTTGCACTGTGGAAGAGGTCAGAAGGAGTGAAGAATGAAGACAGAGACCTGAAACCTGATTAGGATACCGCTGCAGGAAATGAAAGTTAATAGTAATGAAAATAGGGAGAAGTGGGTATACTGCATAGGAAGCCAAACATCAGGAATTGGAGGTTACCTTGTTATAGGAGGCAAAAGAGAGGGAGAAATCAAAGATGATGCCCCAAATGACACTCTACAAATGGGGCACCTGTACTCGAATGTTTATAGCAGTACAGTTCACAATCGCAAAGGTGTGGAAACAACCCAGGTGCCCATCAATACATGAGTGGATTAATAAAATGTGGTATATGTATACCATAGAGTACTATTCAGCTTTAAGAAATAATGGTGATATAGCACCTCTTGTATTTTCCTGGATAGAGCTGGAACCCATTCTACTAAGTGAAGTATCTCAAGAATGGAAAAACCAGCACCACATGTACTCACCAGCATATTGGTATTAACGGATCAACACCTAAGTGGACATATAGGAATATATTTACCCGATATCGGGCAGGTGGAAGGGGGGAGGAGGGGATGAGTATATACAAACATAATGAGTGAGATGTGCAACGTCTGGGGGATGATCATGCTTGAAGCTCTGACTCGAGGGGGGAGAGGGGGCATGGGCAATATACGTAACCTTAACATGTGTACCCCCATAATATGCTGAAAGAAAAAAAAATGAAAGAAAAAAAAACAAAGATGATGCTCAAGTTCCAGAGCACATGGAAGAGGAGCAAGTTTTGGAAGGGGAAGTAATGAGTTAAGTTTTGAATATTTTGAATTTGAGCTGTTTATGACATATTTAGACAAAAGGATAAATTCCAGAAATATTAATATTTAGGAGACAAAATTAGTAGTACTTGACAAACAGTTGCATGTGAAGTTGAGGGAACAGGGAGAGTAAAGTTCATCTCACAGGCCACTATCTAGGGTAGCAATGTTGATTCTTGATTCTCAAGGGAGAAATCAAAAATGGGAGTTAAACAGATGAGGCAGTGAGCTCATCTCTGCATAGATGAACTTCATGTGCCTGTGGGACATTCAGTGATGTGCTATAAACAGATGAATACATTGGTAGATAATCCACAGAGAGAACTGGGCTAAGCATAAAGGAATTTCATTGTTATATGAGTAAGAACAAAAGCTAGAAGAGTGGCTGAGATAACGTAGGGAGAATTTGCAGTGAGAAGAGCAACAAGGACCAAACTCTGAGAAACATCAAAAGCTGGAGAAAGGAACTATCAAGGACACAAAGAAGTAGGGTGACCCCACCTCTGATTTACAGACTAAGAAGCTGAGTTCCAGAGCACTTGGCCAAGAGTACATGTAGATGAAGGATGGAACCAGGACTAGAATTTATGTCCCCATCCCAAATACTAGGGTGGTTCTTCTCTGCTTTTGTCCCCATTTCCTATCATACTTGTCTTGAAGAATAATTGTATTCATTTTAAACATACTCTTCAGCAGCTTCAATACAGATTCAGAGATACCCTTCCACACCTCAAAAAAGATGTGTGTATTTTTTCATGCTTTGTGTTAGGTTTAGTTCCTGGTCATGGGTTCATAATTCTTTATGTCCCTTGCCATTTTGACTGACTAAGGATGGGTACATGACCTAAATTGGGCCAATCAGAGCCTTTCATAGGAAATTTTCTTACTGGAACTGGCAGAGATGAGTGTTTTTCTCTCTGGGCTTATGTTAGGATATGACCCTGGAGCTTTCTCCAGGAAGTTCTCCACCATGTGGTCCCCAACAAGCTGGTCTGAAAGAATGAGTCTGATGGACAGCAAGGAACACACAGAGAGAATCCTGGCAGTGTTGAATCCCTGGATCAAGAAACCCCTGAGGTCAGCAACATGCCTGTCCATTCTAAAGGCCTGGGAATAGGAGCCATTACATCTTTTTCTTATTTAAGCTGCTTTGAAGGAATTTCTGGGGTTTTTTGCAAATTAAACGAGGCTGCAGATTTATATTTAAATTCTCATAGACAAACAACATCTGGACATTTTGGGAGATAATATAGAATAATGGTTAAGATCTTAGACCTAGAGTCCAATTGCCTGGATTTAAATTTCTGGCTTAACAACTCTGTGACTTTGAGCTAGTTACTGAACCTCCCAAAAAGTCAGTCTCCTCATCTCTAAAAGAGATGTTGTAAAAGTACTCAAAAAACTATTGTGAGGTCTAAAGCTCTAAAGACAACACTTGGGCACAAAGTCTACAATAAATGTTATCTTCTCTGGCTCATATTTTAATACATTTGTTTTAGGCTACAGAAGAAAGAAAACCAAAATTGTAATGTGTTTATTGGTGTTTTGGGTTTGATTTTTAATTAGGTCGTTTTGTACAGTATAGGCCTAGGGAGAGGTATGTATGTTTAGCTTCCAGTGTTGTTAAGCTGTTGGGAATGAACATCAATAACCAGTGCTAGAGAGGAAGAGTTGCCCTAGGCAGTAATGACATTAGTGTCATTTCCATGTAATGCTGCCTCTATTCAAAATGCAACTGAAGCCATTTGGGATTGGAACAGTTTGAAAGGATTCTCTGATGGTAAAGGTTTCACTGTTCTGAGTTCACTGTAATCTTTATCCACATCCAGTATGAGAACTGACATTGAAGGGGGACGAAACCTCAATTCTTATATATAAAATTCAGAAGAAATAGCATCTCTGCCAGAACAGAAGTAATCGAAGACCTTCCATCTGGCCATCTACCAATTGCCCTCTCTTTTCCTGGCGTAAGCACCACAAGAGCTTAACAAGTGACAGTATCTCAATAGGATAATTTAGAGCTGCTACCAGGAGTGAGATTAAGAGTGCCAGGCAGGAAAGATGGGCTGAGAAGGACTTTTAAAAGCTATAGCTATTTTTTTAAAGGTGTGGGGCAGGAGTTGAACCAAAGAATTGAGCCATTTACTGAAATAGAGTAAGAGAAGAGAGGTGAGAATAGGGAAATTCATTGGTCTTCCATCTTTGAAATCATTCTCAGCACATTGTTAATATATTTATAAAAATTACTAATATTTATTAAGCCATAAGTGTATATGGTTCGAATTACATGCTTAAAAAGACAGAGAAACTTATATAAAAAGAAAAAAAGAAGGATGTTACTGAAAGCTTGACACTTGTCCTGGAGGCTGCATCAGAAGAACAAGAACAGTGGTTTGAGGAGAAGGAAAGAGAAGTTTATTACTTTGCTGGCAAAGGAGGAAAAGTGGCAGACTCTCATCTCAAAATCCAAATTCCCATCCACAAGCAGAAATACAGAGCTTTTAAAGGGAGGGCCCTCAGTTATAGGCTATTGCCATTAATGATTCTAATCGCCCCATCTCTGCTAAAGACAAAGCCTGTGGCCTCCGCCCACCTTGGAGGCTAGTGCTGGGCCTGGGATGGCTGAGCTATCTCCTGTAACACAAAGAACAAAAGACATTCCCCTGCCCCTCTTGACCATCTGCCCAAGGCAGGGATGCAGGCCAGGCCACAGCTCCCAAAAAGAGTAGGGGAAGCTTTAAAAAGAAAGAAAATATTTTTGCCCTTTCATTTTCAGGCCATTCCCTCTGTTACATATTCCTCACTCTCAATTTTATGCTTCCATATCCATGAGAGGAGGGACAACTACTCTGTGACAGGGAGATCATTTATGACCCAGAAATGTACATAGCCATTGAGGAGGGTTGGGTAGGGTAGGGAAGAGTTTTGCAGCTGCAGTCCAAAGATGTGGGTTTGAACATCTCCTGCACCAACAGTTGACCTCTCTGAAGCTCAGTCTCTATTGATAAAATGGAGACATAAACACCCACCATTTATTGGGTACTCCATGTACCAGAAATGTTAATGCCTATCTTATCATATAGAGCAGTTGTAAAGATGACATCTTAAAAACTTGAGTTGTAAAGACCAAATAGAAAAATTATAAATATCTTACATAGTAGCATGCAAATAACTATAACAGATTCTACTATGATTTGGCCACCAGTCCAGTCTTGGGGCATGTAACTTCAACACTATTATGTCTTTGTTACTGCAATTTGACCTGCTTTAACTGATAGCTCAAACAGAACAAGAATAAGTATTGTTTGGATAGCATTCTCTTCATCCAAAATTATTTCCATTTACCTGTGAACATAACAGTAATCTATAGCCTTGCTACCCAAAGTGTGGCCCAAGGACCAGCAGTATCAGCATCCTCTAGGAGCTCATTAGAAATCTAGACCCTTAGGCCCTACCCCAGACCTGCCAAATCAGAACTTGTATTTTTTTTTGGAGACAGAGTCTCG